GCCATTGTTAACCACCCGCAGATTCAGTCAAGCAGTAGTAGTTCTTCAAAACTCTTGGCCAACTCAGCTCTGCATGACTACCTGAGCTCGGCACACATCGACTCCCCACCCTGACCGTATGATATGAGTCGACCTCCAAACATTCTTCACACAATGCCATCAAATAACCGGCTCTGAACAGAGATATGTGGGTCATCACTCCTTTCCCTCGTGAACGGGACAATGAGCCAGTCCTCCCAGGTCTCAGTGCCTCTGCTCAGCAGAGTATTGCAAGACAAACAATGGAAAGTCGTTCTGAAATGCAATGAAGGTTTGCACTGAAGGTTATAAATTTTAAGGCACCAAAATGCCAAAGCAAACAGCTGGGATGGGAACGGAGAAATTAGATGACTTACAGTACACTTGTGATTCATTCGAGCTCAGAATGAATCAAAATGTCAAATAAATTACATTAAAAAGTTTGGGTTTAGTACGATTTTTTTTTTTAAAGAAATTAATACTTTTATTCAGCAAGGAAGCATAAAATTGGTCAAGTGACAGTAACCTCTATGTTGTTAAAAAATAAAATTCTATAAAAATCATGGGGGAAAAGCATCACAGTTTTCAACAGTGATAATAATAAGATTATGCTGAAAATTCACTTTGCGTCACAGGAAAAAAATACATTTTAAAATGCATTCAAATAGAAAAAGTTCTTTTAAATTGTAATAATATTGTATAATATTACTGTTTTTACTGTGATTTTAATCAAATAAATGCAGCCTGGGTGAGCATGAGAGACTAATTTAATAAACATCAAAACATCTTACCCCAAACAGTATTGTATTTAGTTCATGTTTCCAAGGCAAAGCTAAGTATAAAATGCTAAATATATATATTTAACAATTTTTCATATTATTGGATTCTGCAAAGCGGGCTGTAACATTATTAGTGGTGCTTGCTAACTGTTATATAAGCACATTTTTATTTATTAAACATCTCTTTGTGCCACAAACATGAAATAATTAATGACTGAAAACTTTTTTTTCCATCTGAATAAGGTGTGAAGACCACATTTGTATTTAATTTTCCCAATAATTCTATTTGAAAGGTTCCTCGCTTTGTTTTGGAGGTCTCCTACAATAGTTTTACATGCAACACGTTCAAAAAACTCTTCAATTTTCTCATTTTATACATTGCACATCACCTAATTTCTCAAAAAGGCTGAAAACGGTTAGTTTGAAGATCCAGTCTATCTAAACCCCTTCTTTCTGAGAGCCTACTCTGCTCTGATTGGTTAGATGTCCAAGCCTGTTGTGATTGGTCTCCTGTTGGAAAGAAAATGCCTATACCATTCAGTTTACCGTATCAATCCCAGCATGTCCTTTGGAAATTCATGGAAAGTGGAGTCCCAGTGCAGAAAACAGCGTCTTTTCTACATGTTGCCAACACAAACCAATGAAATGAAGACCATAGGCTGGCATTATGCAAATTTGTTACATTTTTTATGTAAGTTTGTAACAGGAAGTGAGACTGACGAATCGTTTCTGCTGTTCATAATCGATTAATTTCTTTAGGAGACAATATTTCCATTTATCGTGCACTTCTAAATGGCTATATATATACACATTACATGAAAGGTAATATTAAAAAAAAAAGCATTTACACTTTACATTTTTCTCATTTCTTTTCAGATACAATGTCATGATCGAGTGCTGGCATCCCAAACCGGAGCGTCGGCCCACCTTCTCAGAGCTAGTGTCCCGCATCGCCTCCATCTTCTCCAGCTTCAGCGGAGAGCACTACATCCTCCTTAACACCACCTACGTCAACATTGATAAGATGACACCCTACCCCTCTCTCATCTCCTCTCAGAGTAACCTCGACCGTGACTGCTGCACCTGAAAGACAAAGTCACCAGACAGAGGGAGGGAGAGGAAAACGACAAAACAAAGCCATTGCTGTTCATGAAAGACACTGGACTGGCTGCCAGGGGTGGCTTTCATCATTAAAGGAGGAGAAAAGCTGCCCAAGGACACTGTGAAAGACTTAAAAGGCACGAACACTCCCTTAATCGCTGTAAATAGATTATGACGAGCCGTGACCTGTGGAGTTGAGGTTCTCCAGTCGAGCATGAGATGGTCCTGATCCCCTGGGACCTTGGCACCCCATTAACGTTTCATCTGTAGGGTTGCATTTCAGTGACCATCTGATTCATTTATGCTCTTGGAAGATGCTTTCGAACCAGACGACTTCAAGACATCTCAGCTGCATCGTGTTCTCCGGCGTAAGCTGAGCGCTCGTTGACCATTTTATTTTCTGTGAAAAGTGTAATAAAATGCCATTGTGCATGCCTTCATACTACGAACTGAACGCAGCATAATGAAGATATCAGGTGAACACTGGACCCCACGTTTGATGACGTCAACGTTCTCGTGATGCCTGTACGTCCAATTCAGACTTTGAAAGACCGATATGAATGATCTTATTATGTTTTGTTTACTTCTGTTCAGATGATTCTTTTCTGTCCAGGCCATTCGAATCTTTCCGACAAGATTTCTTCCGTAGTTCTTATATATTTTTATATAATCCGTTTAGGTTTAGTGTCAAAGCGAACATACTACAAGGTCCACATGGAATCTGTGCAGCTTTTTCACATTTTCACCACTGATTGAGTGAGAAAATCTGTGGGATGGATTTAAAGTCCACAGGTAATGGCATTCTACTTCCTTAATGTGATTCATTTCTGAATGAAACTGGAAAATGTGATAACCCGCGGGTTTGGTCGAGTGGAACAGGTGACGTCAGACGAAAAGGAAATTCTTTTCAGAAGCGGAATTAGTTGGAATAACGTGCACAAATTAATGCCCTCAATAAAACCAGGAATATATATAAAGAAAGTAAATAAGGTCTATATGAAAATATTAAGCAGCAGCGCATCTGACACTGAAGACTGGAGTAACAATGCTAAAAAAATCAGCTTTGCATCACATATATTCAAATAGAAATCAGTTATTTGGTATAATATTTTACCATATTACTGTTTTTTGATGCATGCAAGACTAAACCAAAACCAAAATCTTACCAACGCCAAGCTTTTTGAAACGTTGTGTATGTGTAAATATATATTTTATCATATAGACCCTATTTATGATATGAAATTACCAAAAAATGCAAAAGGCGGGTGATGTGTGGGACTTTGTGAGCGGCAGATGGGGATTCAGTGCAGGCCTGTATGTTCCTATATAGTGAAGATGACTATGAATGTGACTTGCCATAATGGACTACTGGATGGTGTAAATAATTTGTCTCTCTACCCTTATTGTCTGACTTGCTGTGTGATACATGTGTATATATAGCCTATGAACACAGTACAATATAGACAGTTTGGTAAACCAGTCAAATGAGGTCAATCAACATTTCATTTAATCTTTATGTGAGTAAAGTTTTAGCGTTCTTGTTATAAATGATCGATAAACAGGCTGAATCTTGATTTGTTTTATATTATGGTTTAGGTTTCACCATTTATATAAACCTTTCTTTGATTCTGTCAGACTGCCTAGTGATTTCTATATGGAGTTCAAACTCAAAAATGGTACAAATGACAATTTTTCTGTTGTTCCAGTCATGATAATAAAGTTTTATTACGTGTGTCATATATGAATTCTGAGTGAATTTATTCTCTTTGTGCTGTCTACAAAATGTCTCACTCCATCTCATTGGCTCTATGTGTGAACTTTGACCAGGACCTTCTGATTCCCCTCAATGCTCTTGACTCGACCATCACCCTTGGTGTCTAGAAAGGCTTTTTAATTTCCTCTGTTATGGTCTCCTTGAAAAGAAGGGTAATACTACCTGTCTGAAAATAGTAATTCAGCTAAATTAATGAAATATGATTTACAGGTAGGCTACAACGTACATCCTCTCATAGATATTAACCACACTTTTTTACTGTAACTGTTGAAAAGTACAGTATGACTATACCTTAATTAAGAAAAATGCAGTTGCTTAATGTGCATTAAATGTAGTCTATTCAAGTATTTTTACTTCCATGTACCTTTAACATGCTTTATTAAATTCTGAACTTGGCTGTCCTAACTTTGAGGACAAATACTAAATCCCTCCTCATAACTCAACACTAATTCATAAGCTAATGTGGAGGAGTATGACAAACTATGCACTGTTATCTGTTGTCAAAAGGCCCTATTGTAATCTTTCGACTTCACGTTATGTGAAATGACTAGAGTGCCACCTACTGGGTTTTATAGCCTGTCCTACTAAATGTTTTACAATAACTGGGAAATACCTCGTTGCCACTTTTTTCTCTATGGCTCTTTTGTTTCAGGATCATGAATCATTTTCAGTAAAAATTCCCTTGGGCCTTCATTGAAAGAATTAAGTCTAGTTACACGAGCAGTGAGGTACTGTCATGAATAATATTGCTCCTAGCTATTAGAAAACCAGACGGAAAATCCGCCCCGATATGACGTGGTGTCTGCTCAGCTCCAAAATGACTTGCACTGGGAGTTTAAAATCATCAAGATATGACAGTTATGAGCTGCTCACTACACAGAAGTATACGCTTCCCCATTTTATACTGGCATGTAGAAAAACAGATTGGGTCTGGTTTTGTCTGCATAGGCTTATTGTGTGGACAAATGTCCACACAACAACAGTAAAACGGGGAAACAGACCAGACAATCCACATAAGTATTGGTTATCAGGCTTAATAAACAATAAAAAATGCCAAAATGTAAAAAAAGGTTCAGTGAGGCCTGCGTGTTTGAGTTAGTTAATACAAAATATTATTACATTTAATTCATACAGTGGTCAGCCTCAGTGTTGTTTATATCCCGAGCTATTGATATTATATCACAAATGCTTATTTCCTTCTTTTTACCCATTTTTAACATACACAGACATTAGTCAAATATTGATGTTCAGACTACTATGGTTCAGACAGTATCACGGGCTGGCCTTCGTTTGACTTCACTTCCCATAACTCCTCTCGGGCGCTCTTCCGGTTTGTGATCATTGCTCTGCGCTGCTCGCGCATAGCTCGCGTGACCTCGAGATATAAACATTACTACACGACGCTTACCACTACTAGTAGTACTGTATTTTGCTTTAACGACCACTAATGTAGTTTAGTCTCTGCACTCAAAGTAAAGCTTTAGTGATGTTTGCTTGTGCAGTTACGCAGCGGTTACATCACGGTCTGTGTCTGGGCTCAGTGCAAAGATGTTCAACACTCTTCACCAGGGCTTGGGTCTCTCAGGCTCTCCGAAGTTGTTCAGATGTTCCTGCAACCACGAACGACTTGAATAAACCTATAAAGCAATGGGAATTATTAGTTAGTCCTTATACAAAGGTTAGGTGTCATTTAGGCTGCAATATATCCATAAAACCACTGGATCCTCATCATTTTCCTGAATCTGATCGGGTATTTATTACTGTGCACGTGACAGATGCGAATCAAACTCTTAATGTGAACAGATTTCATGTTCATTATGATGATCAAAGCAATGAACTTCAGATTTTGGACGATGAGATGGATAGCAATGTCACTGTTGAACTGACAGCACCTATTAAATGCGGTAAGGATCTGTATTCCGGCTGGTAAAGAAATGAATAATGTATTTTTTATATTATATTAATATTGTTGCTTATTTGTTTAATTGATTTTAAAATGTAATTATAATTAATGTTATTTTATTTATTTATGTTAATATCAATAATAGTTTTACTATGTAGGCTGTATTTACAGCAAGTTAATGTAACAAGTGTATTTTTATTCATGTAAATTCATTGAAATGCATGTGAATCATTCTAGTGACTAGTCCCTGTCCATCCCTCCAGATCTCCACATCAAGACTAAAGACAAAGGCAACGTGAAGATCCAGAATATGGAGAGTGACCTCTGCCACGTACTCACAGAGAGAGGACACTGTGTCCTAAAATCTGTCAAGGTAATATATAAGTTTTTATTAAAATTCAAAATAGGGTCCGGGGCCTCAAAGAAGTACTAAAGGGTCCATGGAAAAGTGTAAAGAAGAAAGGGGTTAACTATGTGAATAAAAAATCATGAAAATAAATAAAATTGGATTTAAATCAATAGATAAATAATACATCTAAGAGTGCATTACCATAGAGAGTCACATACAAGAAACTAAATATTTATTTGATCAAAAATACAGTAAAAAAAGTAATATTTTAAAACATTACCATTTAAAATAACTATTTTATACTCTACCAATAAAAGATACCAAGTGTTGTTATTTTTTTATTCAGCAAGGACACAACATAATTTATAACACACAACATCAAATGTGATCGTTAAGACATTTATATTTTTAGATAAAAATATATATTTCAAATAAATGTTGCTCTTTTGATCTTTCTATTCAGCAAAGAATCCAGCAAAAAAAAATCACTGTTTCCACAAAAATGTTAAGCAACAAAAACTGTTTTCAGCAGTGATAATAATAAAAACCATTATTAGAGCAGCATAATAAGCATATTAGATTGATTTCAGAAGGATCATGTGACATTAAAGACTGGAGTAATGATGCTGAAAATTCAACTTTATCATCACAGGAATAAATTGCATTTTAAAATATATTCAAATAGCTATTTTACTGTATTTTTGATCAAATAAATGCAGCCTTGGTGAACATCAGAGACTTATATTTAAAACCTTTTTTTCCCCTTGCCTCACAATGATTATATCTGAATGGTCTGAGATCTAAATTAACCCCTGAGTTAATGTGTCATAAAGGCCTAAACATATCTTATTTATTGAGATAATAAGGATCTGTTTAATTCTAGTGATTTTGTTTAGGGTCATGAGGTTCAAGTTCAGTCCACAGGAGGAAATGTCACTGGACTCAAGACCTTACATGGGAATGTAGATATCCGCACGTCTGGGGACAGTGTAAGTAATTCTTGATATGTAAAACCGCATACATTCTGAAATTGTTCTTCCAGTAAGTCATTGTTTTTGTTCTCCAGAATATCGATATTAAGAAAATTCAGGGAACCACGATGAACCTCTCCACAGAACACGGGGATCTGAAAGTGAAGGCTATCTATGGCGAATCCACCTCGATGTCAACTTCCTCCGGGAACATTCAGATTGGCCATGTACACGGTGAGTAAGAGAGGCGAGAAACGGTTCATTTTAAACACCGGATGTGCCGTTAGGACATGTATCATTGTTGTTTTACAGGTGAAGCTCTTGTACGCAGTGAAACGGGAAACATCATGATTGGTAAGTGATTGTCTGAATTGACAGTAGGTCATTAGTGTCTAGTTTTGTGCACTAAAGATGTCCTTCCTGTGTCCCAGACAGCTCAAGTGGTGCCCTAAAGGTGATTACTGCTGCTGGAAACATTGATGCATACGTGGGCCAAGACGGAAGTGCAGAACTTCACAGTCAACAAGGTACTAATAATGGAAACTCATACACAAGACTAGCATAGCATGAACATATCTACTTACCTGCCTACTTCCTTTTTATCCATTCATTTTTAAAATGTCTTTCAAATGTATTGTATTTATAATCGTAATATATTTCTGATACATACCTACAGACCCGTCATTACTTTGTGTCAAGGTCAATAAGTCTTTAGATCATTTGACTTTCTTACAGCAAGGCAAGATTAGGTCAGATTGTAAAATATCATGTGGTACGACCAGGTGCGACTTATCTCTTTATTGTGGAAACTTTTTGTCATTGGTCCAGGTGCTGTGAGTGTGCGTTTGCCCTCCACCATGAAAACAGCAGTGCAGTTGTGTGGAACCTCTGTTAGCATTAGCTCAGAGATAGAATGTCAAGAGACCGAACGTACTTCAGCTAATGGGAAGACGACAGTCACGGGTGAGTGAAAGCCAGACTCAAACTGCTTGAAACATACTTATTTGTTCAGTTGTATGGGATTAAATTCCCGCCGAAAGTATTATGGTCACGGATCACAGAAATAATAAGTGCAAGTGTAAAACAAACATTCCTATGTATTCCTTTTAGCTCGTTTGAATGGTGGCACGGATGAAGAACGATGGATCAAAGCCACAGCTGAAAAAGGTGCTGTGAACCTGAGAAACCAGAGCTGGTTTGAGACTCTCAGACTTGGGGCTCAGAGTTAAACCCACTTCAGTGAAGGTTTATGGATCTTGTGTGTATCTGTCTAAAAAGACTCACAAAACTGTGTCTTGACATAAGAGTGGTGAATGCATCTAAATGACATGTTTGAAACAGAATGCATGTCATTTTATGGGTTGGGTTGTGGGTACGTCCTGCTGCGAAGAATAAAGTATGCAACCAAAGATGTGCTTATAATGTAAAACTACCAGCGGTGGTCCTCATGTTTTACACAAATTGCAAAACGTCCAGTTATGGTACACCAGATTAGATGCTAAATAGTGCCTACATGATTGAAACAACTTTCCAAAATAAAGAAATAAACCATTCAATTTAAAGCGTTTATTAATTTTTCACTGTCACAAGATTCTTCAGAAATCATTCTAATATGAAGATTTGCTGCTCAAGAAACATTTCTTATCATTATCAGTGTTGAAAACAGCTGTGCCGCTTAATATTTTTGTAGAAACTGTGATATATTCTTCTAGGATTCTTTGATAAATGGAAAGTTCAAAAGAACAGCATTTATTTTAAACGCTAATCTTACATGACTGTTAAATGACTGCATTATAAATGAGTTGTACTGATATTTGCAAAATGGAGAAAAACATTAACCAGGAGAACCTTTACCAAACTCCCGCTTTTTCCTCGCAATCTCAGTTTTCAGGAAACAGTGCTTGTTCAACAAATGTTGAACTTTTGCAGTTTGTGTTGTTCATATTCATGAGTGACGTTCTGAGGCAGGCGGTTTGCAGTGGAGCTGGATTCAAAGGCAGCATTCACTGGAAGTTAGTGCAGGTAAGTTTGTTTCATACAACTACACCTCAACCTGGAGACAAAAACAAATATTGAGAGAATACATTTGGAAAATAACTCGAGTTAAATGAAATTAATTTCCAAAAATGCTCATTGACAGTGCTGGCATCAAATTCCAAAAATTAAGAACTTATACTATGTTTTAAACTGCTACACTTTGTAACTCTTTTAGTTTATTCGTAGCTAAAAACACTTAATTCTTTCAAAAATATATGTCCTCATTAATTTATATTTACTTCGTTCAAGTAATAATGTCGGTCGCCATGTTGCCCCTCCATCTTGAAAGTACATTAGCCAAAGAGGGACATACCCGTTAATTCAAGCTTCGCCTTTCGCGATTACGTTTGAGTTAGCACTCAAGGACGGTCGAACTGGAAGCCATGTTGTTAATCTTGGACTACATTGGCCACCGTAGGAGTTAAAACGAAATACCTTTTCACCGCTAAATGGGGGTAAAAATCACACATGTAGCATGATATAATATAATATTTAATGCGCTTCATCCTGTTGATAACAAAGAACAAGTAAGTTACAAGAATACTTATGAACTAGCTTTTTATATAGCTTTTTGCTTAGTTTGCTCTTTAATAAAGCCCAATGTACTGCTAATAAACTGCGATAAAATAAATAACCAGTTAACATTAATATACAGTTTTGTGATGTCTGTAATTTGCTGTATGTTGATATGTGTATACATGCTTTTGGTTATATAGGTGTTACCCTGACTGGCAGTAGAGCATGAGTTTAGTGGGTTGAAGGTGGCGAATCCTGGGAGGTTCGGGCCAGTTGAAGTCGTGATCCATTGCTGATACCGAGACACGCGGGTGTACACTCCAGGTTCATTGGGCTGACCACAGTCGTGACCCCTACTGATGATACCAGACTGGATCCACACTGAACACTGCTGACTCACCATTGGACCACCAGAATCCCCCTACAACAGAAAAAGAGAGAGGTAGCACGTTTTTCAGTTATTTTTGTTTGTAGCACTATTTAACATAAAACAGTGAATATAAAAAGATATACTCCTATACAAACTGTGCTGTAATAAAAATCAAAGGGTGCTTCAACTAAGTGTAAGTTCAGGGGTATACACATTAAAAAAATCAATAATGGAAATTTATGTAATTTGACATCCCAACTCTAAACGTTCAAAATGCATGCGAACCATAGGATGTAGGCTCACCTGATGGATTTAGTGACTATTTTGTAATTGAAGTCTGCATAATCCTCATGAGTGTGCACATGGAGATAAGTAGTAATAATCGGAGTGGTTGTTGTACCTGGCAGGTGTCTTTTCCTCCCTGCTGTAAACCAGCACACATCATGTTGTCTGTAATGACTCCGGCACCCAACAGATCATTACACTCAGAATTAATTATCACTGGAACCACAGTCTCCTGCAGAGTCCCAGGATAAAACAAATTCACTGGACACACGACAAAACACAATCATCAGTATGTGACGTGACGTCAGTAGAAGGTGTGTGTGTGTGCGTGCATGTGCGTCTGTGACCTCCAGATGCAGTTTGTCCCCAGCCTGTGATCCAGCAGTTGGTGCCTGAAGGGAAAATGCTGTCCTCCGCTGCTAGACACACCGGTCTAATATAGTTAGTAAAGTTGACTGAAGAGGACAGATGCAGGAGAGCGATGTCATTGTTGTAGGTGTCACTGCTATAGTCAGGATGTATGACGAGTGTACTGACATTTCTGCTGATTTCATGAGCATGAACTCCCTGCTGTGTCATCCTTCCCAAGTACACAACCAGGCTGGATGTGTTGACGCTGAATATACAGACGAGGAAAACGACAATATTACAAGAACTACATGTATACATAAGATTATTTAAAATCTGTAAATATGTTTATGTGATTCTAACCCTGCAAAACAGTGAGCAGCCGAGAGCACCCATTCACTGCTGATGAGGGAACCTCCACAAAAGTGGCCTTTATATTTGGGGCTGTGAAGACTAACCTGCCAAGGCCACGCCCCCTCATTCGCATCGACTCCACCCACAATACGGGTTTTTAAAGGGTGGTGACGTCCACAAACTGAGAGAGAAAAAGAGAATAGTGAAAAAACACTGCTCTAGCATGAGATGACATAAATGTTTCTTTTTTTTTAATAATCTTGGACATTTCAGATTATGTCATGTTCTTTCTAGAGGGGTTCTTACCATTCAAATGAGAATGACAGCCTGCAAACAAACAAAAAAAGTTATGGTGGGACAGATAAAACCACACATCTCAATAATTTAAAATATATTTTTATTTTTCAGGACTTATAGTAATCAGGTAAGATGAAGTTATATAAGACAATCGAAATGGTTTATTTTATATAACGGTCACTGGAAAGAAAGAAATGATAGGCCTACGACCTTTTTCTACATGTAGTTGAAACATAAAAAAGTATAAGTTATTTTACGTCAGTTGTGCGCCAGGTGCTTTTTTTTTTTTTTTTTTTGATTACCGATGTTCGCGAGTCAACAAGGCTGCATTTTAAAAGCTTCAAAATGCAAGCTGCTTACAAGCTACAACCTTCTTCTTCAACAGCTTGTTTTATGTCACAAATGAAGCACTTGTGAAAATAGAACCGAATTAATTTAAACACCTGTAAGATTTTACCTTTGACGCATATGAGCAGGGCCATACAGGTTAACGTCCGCATCGTCACTTCGTCACACGAAGGGTGTTTTCACATGTAGTTCATTTTAAAAGAACCAAACCCAGACTGACTCTCTCTTCACGGGCAGAATGGATGTCTGTGGTAGTTATGTCGTGTTATTCATTTAGTAATGTACACCAACCCTTCTTATCACTAATTTGCCTGATCATTTGCATGTTTCTTCTCTCTTTTCGTCTTCCTTACTTCCTAGCAATGCTCGACCTATAGTTTTACAGCAATCCATGAATATGTGTGACGTGTAGGTAGTATGCCTACAAACGGCCTACTTTTCATTTACATGCGGATTTTACTGCATGCTTGACAATAAAATGCGTTTGTGCAGTTTGAATAAAAGTTGAGGTTGAAATGTAAATCTTTGCCTTGATCAAAAAAAAAATAAAAATTAAATTAGTAGGCTACTGTCTGTACTATTATTAGAGAGAAAACAAATTAAGTTTTGATTACATGAAAGAAGATACAACATGCAAGAATAAATTCAATGCAAGAAGACAAAATTCATTGACTAAATTGTGGCTTTTTAAATTGTACGTTTGTATGTTTTCAAGACAAAAACCTACAGTAAGTCTATATGTTGCTGGCACACTTTTCATTATTTCAGCATTTAACTTTATTTTTAACTAATGAAAACAGAAGCATCCTGTTATGTTGCAATATTTTATTGTTTTAGTTAACCCTGTTTTTATCACAATACTTAAGAATAGTGTCTAAAGCTCAACTGATAATTTGAAAGTTTATTAACATCTTAATAATACACAATAGAATACAAATACTTAAGTTTAGAATACAAGTGAACTGTGCATATGATTTTTGTCCTGTTTTATTTTTATTTCGTGATTCGATATGAAAATAAATGTATATTAAATGTGTAAATGAATGTATGTAATTCAAAGAGAGGTCCCACAGTTTCCAGAATCTTAAAATATGAAATACCCAAGCAATAGGCCTAAGAGTTGACAAAATATACAATAATACATCAGACAGTCATTATTATAAATAAACAGAGTTTGGCTATTTTTCAAACAGGTGCCTTTTTGTTCATTTCTTGTGAAAGGGTTAGTTCACCCAAAAATGAAAATCCGGTCACATGGACTATTTCAACGGTGGATTTACTACCTTTCTGGGCCTTGAAAGTTGCAATGACGTTATATGGAGGGACAGAAACCTCTCCCATTTCATTAAAAAATATCTGTTCTGAAGATGAGGGTGAGTAATTAATGACAGAGGTTTAATTTTTGGGTGAACTTACACTTTCAGAGAGTGAAATACGGCATGGTACCATCTTTTTTCTCTTTGGAAGATTTCAGTGCTTAAAACTTGGTTAATACTGATTCTTAATCTTAACCTTTTTGTCTTATAGCTACCCTGACAATATTTTGTTCCTAAAGAAACAAAACACACCTTTGAGAAGAGATTTCTTATCAAATGCATAAATGTTATATAATATCTAAATATTTTCCACAATACATAAGTGTTGACTCGTCTGGTAATGTCTGTAGTGTCCTCATCCCGCCACATCTCGTCGAGTTGTAGTAATTAATCCAGACTGTAGGGGGCGTCATCGTGACTGTGTTTCCAGTGTTGGACTCGGCACTGCAGTTTCAGAGCGGCCTGTCTGAGATCAGAAATGTGCTTATCATTAACATAGGACTATCTCTGCTTAACTCTATGAAACTAAATCTTCAAGATCTCCTATCTTGGGAAATGGCACAGTGAATCACCTAGAGATGTTCTTGCAATAGAGCATGCTGATGGACCGCAGATATGGAGCGCTGCACAGGAGGAAAGAAGGAGTGCGGTCAGTCAGGAGAGGACAGCCACTCACGTCCAGTTCCCTCAGGAAGTGACCAGCCCTTGTTAGATACTTCACTGCTGTATCTGTCATCTGATGCAGCAAAATATAGTTTCAGTCGAAATAGTGAAAATACTTTTTTTGCATTTTATAAGTCAGGGGTTTTCAAACTGGGGTCTGGGGACCCTCAAGGAGCTACTAAGGAGTGCTTGGGGTCCGTGGAAAGGTTTTAGAGAAAAACCACGATACATTTGATTAAAATAAATAAGAAAAATAATCTAAATTAGGTTGTAATTAATAAATAATCCATCAGTAGCAGTAGTGAATAGAAAAAAATATAACAATGTAACACAATAGAAACTAAATATAGATATTTTATACACAAAAATTTTAAATTTGAGAGCAAGTGTCTCTCACACGAGGACGATCATATTTGAGGGTCCGTGGCATCTAAAAGTTTGAAAAGCCTGTTCTAATTAAATGCATTTTATTACAAATCATATTATCAGCATAACAATTTGAGTAAAGTTGAATTTCAAGCATTTGATTATTTGATTAATGACCTTGAAATGTCTAATCCTAAAATGTATATTTCATATTTTTTTCTGGTTTGAATTTTATATGAATCTCACTGTATTTAGTTGTATTATTCAGAAATTTGTTCATAGGAATTTAATTGCATCCCAAAATGGCGCAATATGCACATATACTATTTACTCCCCCTCAGCTACATGATCCGACATTCATTTTGGCTGCGTCCAAAATCGCATATTTTGATTCTAGACTTACTACATTCGCCATGTTGTCACTGTCATGATGTGACCTTCACTGCCAGTACTCATAAAGCAGAGCAACTGCTTTATGAGTACTGTGAATTCAGACATACTAGACTTATCGTATACTGTTTATTATCGCCAACTAAATAGTAGCGAAGTATGCAATTTCGGATGCAGCCTTCGTTTTTGGTTAATTAAGGACATCATCCGGGTATTTAAGTGTACTTTTCCGACTTGAAATTTTCAGTGTGAACACTAATCGCACTATGTATACTCAAAATGACAGAACAGTGCATAAGTACTCGAAGTAGGACACACTTTTTGTTCAACAGTTAATTGTTTCCTGACTAACTACTTTGTGGACTTATTATTCTTTCAAGATTACTGATTTAAAGAAGTACTTTAGGGCATCCAGCTATTCTGACAGTGGCAATGGTCCTGCAGAAGAAGGAAAGGGCTTTGATCGCACAATCAGACAGACACACACAGTGACACACATCCAAAAGCTCCAGACGATGACATTGTCGGCAAAACATCTGCACAGAGACAAAATTACGTCACATTAACTTTTACAAAAACAGTAATCAGATTGCAAATTCATGGCAAGCCATACATATATGCACAATGGAGGGATACAAAAAAATGTAAGCCAAACCTTTATTCCATTATCTGTAATAAAAACACACTCGTTTGCCGTCAGTTTTCTCAGACTGGGATTGGCCCCCAGAACTACCAGTCCCTGTGAAAGACATATGTTTTTTAATATAATAACAGGTTTTACTAGAGCTGTAAAAGGATTATGTGTAATAAATGATGTACTTTGTCATGTATTTTGCAGCCGGTGATGTCCAGAGAGACCAGAGAAACGCATCGGTCCAGACACTCAAAGCCGTTATCTGTCAGGTTCTCACAGAAACACACGGCCAGGTGGGTCAGATTGCTACATCTGGAAATTAATTTTGCATTCATACAGTCACTGAGTGTTTAAGAAGGATTTTAAAAAGAGTGTCGTGTCTGGACGTGTTAACTGTTTTCACCTCTGAGTTATTCTCTTCAGGGACAGGTCAGTAACTTTTGGGCAGTAAGAAAGATCAAGTTCTCGAAGTTCAAACGCAGATGGTCCTTCAGTGATGTAATAAATTCCCATATCAGTCACCCTAGATTGTGTAAAAAAAAAAAAACATAAATTTAATGCATTTTTATAGAATCTGAAATGCATGTAACCACATATTCTAGATTGGGGTGCAAATGTAAAAGTGAAATATTTATTTTTTGTATTAAATCCTATATTATTTTTTTCGGCTGTATGTAGCAAAAAAAAAAAATTCATTTTTCAATTCTTCTGCACACTTTTCTGTTATTTTTTATTACACTAAAAGCAAATAGCCCACCTTGCTAGCAGAAGCTATATACACTTACTCCGCACACTAACGTCTGGTTGGGCCAGACAAAATTATGGAGGTCATTGGATTTCCCCCAAAAAGTTAACATTTTCCTATATATTCACGTCGGTGCAATGGCTTCTCTCACTTGATACAGCCTGAGATATTTATGTTGCACAGCTTTGTCAGATTTCCTAAAGACTTCAAGCTGGCATCAGTCACGCGCGGACAGTCGGACACATGGACCTCAGTGAGTTTCTGAGAGCTCCGGCACAGGGCCTTCAAGCTGCTGTCTGTCATTCGCTCATTACCTGAAATACACAACACACAGTGTCCGTTTTACTAATTTAGCCTTTCTAGCCATGCAACATTATTTGGGCTGGGCGCACAAATAAAAACCTTCTATTTGGATCTTGGTGAGGCCGATCACTTCCGCCATTGATTTGAATGACACATCAGATAGAAACGGCGAGTCCAAGAGGGAAATCACAGTCAGCACACGACATTTAGACACTAAGACCTTGCAAGAAAGAAAAACATTCAAATTTTGTGTCTATTCGACGTCATATTTTATGTACATATAACACACACTTGTACCTGCACACAGGAGTCAGTGAGGGTGGGCAGGTCATCTAACACAATCTGTTGAAGTGAACTGCAAGCCTCAGCGACATAAGTAAATCCATCCACAGATATCTGTAGAGCGGGGGGCGGATTTTATATCACGCAATTAATTTGATCAATCTTTATTCTGATTTATTCATGTGAGCAAAACAAATTATGGTAGCCAGTACTTGGACACAGAGTAGTAAAAAAAATTATATGATCAATAAGTTATGACAAGTTTCAACTTTTATTTTATTTCAACTTTAAAGTTATACAAGATTTATCTAAAAAAAAAAAGTCAATTTAATGTAATTTAAGTTGAAATGACTTAAACAGTTGATTGTACTTAATGTTTTGAGTGTTTTGGATGTACTTTTCTAATTTTGTAAAAAGGAATTTATCCCAAAACTTTTTTTCAAAAAAGAACCATTTTATTTAATTTATTGCTATTTCTTGCATACAGTACATTTTATATTCATACTAGAAGGGTCATCATACTGCACATTAAACATTTATATGTTAAAAGAAAATTAAATTTGAATTAGATTTTCAAGAAAGATGTTAATGTATTTTTGAATTCTTTAAAGGGATACTCTACTTTTTTTTTTTGGAAATAGGCTCATTTTACAACTCCCCCAGAGTTAAACTGTTGAGTTTTACCGTTTTTGAATCCATTCAGCCGATCTCCGGTTCGTGTTACCAAAAACAATAATGCTATCAAATGACACCTACAATAAATGCATTGTTGTGATGTGTGATGAAAAAAGCAATGAAAAATGCCACAATGACTAAAGATGTGGAGGTGGGGGAGCAGAGCAGTTGAAACGCAAGAAAGCTCTGTAAATATTAACTAATATTACTAGTGTGCATTTCCTACATGTCAACTCTAACCTGAGAACAACCGGAGAGGTCTAGATGACTGAGTCTGTGACAGCCTTTCCCTGTGGTCAGATACTGCAGGCCTTCATCAGAGAAACCCATGCAGTGCGCCAGATTCAGAGACCGCAGCGTCACACAGCATCTTTTAAACAACAGTCAGGACCAGAACTATACAAATACGGTTATTTCTGCCATTATGCTTGTGTACTGACAAACATATAAGGTCTGTACCTGGAGAGGACTCTTATAGTGCCATTAGTAATATGAGTTAAAGCCAGATTAAGTTTGAGGAGAGAGTGACATCCCTCTAAAATCATCTTCATATTGTCATCCTGTCAAGATTGTTCCCAAACAAAACAGGTGTTAGATTGATTAGAAGCAGCAAAACCCAGATTCACAACGTGTTTGTTTTCTACTTGCATTAACATGTTGGCATTCACTCAGATTGAGTTCTTGAAGATTTCGGCATTGACCTTTGAAAATAAAACACATGCAATATCCTTATCGTATCACTGATCAAAATGAAAATGTGTGTCATTTAATTTTCGATTGATTAAAGTAGCTTTACTGATGCGTCTGAAGCTCGAGCCCTGCACCATTGCGCAACCGCACAAATTCACAGAGATCACATAGACACGATGTGCCCGCAGTTTTCTCTCCACAATCTGATCTGTGATCCAGCTGCCCTCAGGGGAGAAATCAATCTGTGGTGGAAACACATTTTACAAATTATACTGCCACTGCCTAGATATTCTTGTGAAAAAGAAGTGCACTTTAGCATACTTTTAAAAACAATATGCTTATTCCAGAAATACAAGAATTTACTTAAGTTAAAACTGAATGTAATGTTTCAGATCATCTTTGCCCTCTAGCGGTAAAGAACTCAAACTGCAAGCATGTTGCGGAAGAAGGTTGTTTTGGTTGTGCTTCGGCTCTGTGTGACAGTGCGAATGAAAATGGTTCTTTCTCATAACTAAAAAGGGAGATTTTCCTAATAAAACAGGCTTAAGAGATATTACCAGTTTAGATGGAAAGGAACTAGCCATCTAACTAGCCATCGTCCTTGAAAATAAATTCCAGCACTAACAGCCCATTGTGAAGTTATCCTTCACAATATAAAACGAACTCTGTTAAAGAGCTAGGCTACATATGGTAATTTATCTATTAAAAATACCTTACCTGTTGAGTAAATTAAACTGCATCTCTCAATTTTTAAACACTTTTTAAAAATCAATGTCAAGAAACATGTAGTGACAAGCACTACAAGAGCACATTCAATACAGCTAAGTGCACTTCTTTTCCACAAGGGTGTATGTGAATTAAAGTGTTTAAGTGAGCTGCACTGACCTCAGTCCACAGTGAGCTGATCTGAGTGATCGCTTTCCAAGAATGACACACCTGAGCGCATTTCAGGAGGTCACGCACGCCTAGACATTGGAAGATCTGCACCAAATAGTTGATTAAAATCACAGTTGACTCAAAGCCAATAATGTTAACGTCACAAAGGTTAAGCGGTACCTTAAGAGACAGCTTGTTAGGCAGCAGTGACAGTCTGTCCTGTCCATTGCCCTGTGATATCTCTGAGTTCAGACTTTCGTGCATCTCTCTCTCTAGCCTCTGAACATACAGACATGCATAATACCTAAATATCTTATCCATCAAATGCATTTGTGTTGCACACATTTTAATTCGAAAAACTACCTTGAAATATTCCTTTGTTTTTTTAGCTTCATGCACAACACGACGCCAAGATGTGATGATGTTTCTGCAGTGAACAGACTCCTGTGCTTTCTGTAGTTTCTTCACCGCATCTGGATAACATAGGTAATGCCTTCGGGTTACAATATTAATGGAGAACAAAATGGTTTTTAAAGTTGAAGTCCATGTAATATGATGTAATATTTAGGCAGTACCATTCTGCCTGTGTTTTCGAAAGCAAACCCACGCTGTCCACTTGATGAAAGCCTGTTTTATCCTTCTTTGTGTGTGATACAACTTAGTCTCTTCCATTCTCTCTAGGAGCCTGGCAGCTTTCATTTTCTTCTTTGCAATATAACTCTTCCAACCCCTTTAATATGAGAAGTCAGACATTAGTAGTTGATGCAGGCCGAGTGTTTTTGTATTTTTTTTGTACAAAATGGTTCTTATTGTGTTTCCATGTAGAACCTTTAACATTCCACTGCACAAAAAGTTCTTTACAGTGGAAAAGTTTATTCGAAATTATAGAAATTATAATCAATGAAAAGGTATGGGCAACCAAAAATGGTTCTTCTATGGCATCACATGTGAAAACCGCTTTTGGAATAATAATTTTTAAGAGTGGATCCAAAGCAGGTTTTGTTTGCTGTTGTGGCTCTTTTATAGTACAGTTTTGACACTCACGTGAAACACATTTTGGTCAGGTTGGTTCGATAACACGAGAAAGCTTTCTCCAACGAATGTGACAGAAACTGTGAGGAAAAAAATGAATAATGGAAGTTTGATAGCTCAAACCTATTCACTCTGAATAAAGAATAAATTAAGATAAGTGAGATTTACCTGGCTGTCTTCTGGATTTCCAAAAATATCATACACAATGCTTCCTGCCAGTGAGGAGATTTGTTTGTCTTTGTCAATAAATGTGTGCCTAAACAATTCAGAAACAATTGACATTTTAGGGCTATTATTAGTATTATTTACTGTATTATGCTGTTTAAAGCTCATAAACTTGATTTATGCATTTATATTCTAATGTCACAAAATTATTCACAAGCCCACATACCAGCAAATCTCGAAATCCTGATCTTCGAGAATTGATAGGATCTTCTCTTCTATAAAGTGCAAAGGATCTTCAGGGCATGAGACACATAACCCGGCAAGCAAAGCCTAGTTTACATGCAAAATAAGATATAAATAGCATTAATAATCCTTATATATATATATATACACACACATTATTAATAACATTTACATGTTAGAAACAAATTAATCGGATTGTGTTCAATTACACTATTTCCTTGGTTGGCTAACTAGATCAATCACCTTGTAAATCTGAGGAAGTGAATGTTTAATGAAGTAGTCTCTCAATATTGGATCTGAATCTTGCCAAGAAGTCATCATAAAAACGATGGCAGCTGAAGAAGTAGTTAAATAGTTTCCTGCATTCAGTGCAACAATAACCTGAGACTGTGGCTTCTGTTAATATTTACATTCATGTTGCTTGGTGACCTGAGCAAGTGGTTGGTCAGATGAAAAAATCCCCGGAGTATGTATTAATAGCAAACATATAGTTCATAATTTTCAGATACTATCCACACACAAAAATAGTCCAGACCTTACATTAATTGAAAGTCTATGGGATGTGGATTAGACTTTATAGAAGTGCTTGACTCTTGCATTATCAATCAATATAATATCTTCTTTACCAAATCTTTAACAAGAATCGATGCACCTCCCGATGGAAATAACATAAAAACATTTATTTCCACCAAGATCTAAGTGCATCAATTTTTGGTCAAGATCTTGTATTGACAATACAAGACTCAAGCACTCTGTAAAGTCTCCTCCAGCACATCCCAAAGACTTGCCTATTCATGTGTGAAAATTATTCATCATGCTTCCTCCGTCCTAACCATTCACAATTTGAGCCTGACGAATTCTTGATACGTCACCCTGGAATATGGTCATGATGTGTCTTCTAACAGGGTTGTTTATGTTTTTTGTAACTTGTTATATATTTTGTATTTGTTATTAGCTAAAATCATTAATGAACGCAACTCCGCGAAACGGTTTGGTCGTCCACTGATGCAATAGGCGGCAACGTGCGGTGTGACCAGGAAGTGGGTGCATAGATATTTATTGATCCTGTCTTATGATCCTGTCGGACAACAGCTATGTGGTAACATTTTCTGAATGAAATCTGCGCATATCGCAGAATGGGAGATGACAATGTCATAGCCCGGCTCGGCAGCATGAAGGCTCTGTTGGGGATTGTAGCAGGAGCCGGAGCTTCATATGGCATTTATAAACTAGTCGCTGGTCGTGCAGGAGATGGAGTGAAAAGAAGAAAGTCTGCTAAAAGTGTGACTATTCAGCCTGGGAGCTTAATGGCCAAAGTATCTGGATTTAAAGTTGTCAGTAAGAGTGATAATCTGGATCCGTCTGCGGAGACTGAATCTAGTAAGTGAAATTCAAATGCTTTTTATGATGTACAGTATAGGCTATTATGAAGTACACACTGACACAGCAATGTAACAGTTAAGTGTTCACAATATTTGTTTTTGAATCAAACGCATTGTATTGATGAAATATGGGGAGATATTTTCATCTATGCTGTTTTTTCTTCTAATAAGGTGATATTCACTCAAAATCTGCTGCCAGCCTGGAGCCTCGGCATCTCAGCATGCTTCTCTCTCTTCTGCAGAGCAGCCCAAACTCGGAAGAGAGGAGAAACGTGCTCGTAACCTTAGGAAATGCTGCTGCCTTTACAGTAAACCAGGTCATCTAACGGTTTGGCATCTGCACAGTGTGCATTATTCTGACATTTTGCAGTAGAGTAAAAATAAACTCTCAAATTGCAGTTGATATATCATGTTTACAATACTTGTTTGCTTTTTTTAAGTAGGATCTTCTGCGAGAATTTGGAGGTCTTCACATCATAGCAGGCTTCCTCTCAGACCCTTCATCTGAGATCCGGGTTCAGACTCTAAACGCTCTGAACAACTTAAGCATGAATATCCGCAATCAAGAGCAGCTGAAGGTATTGCAAATACTGTATAGATTTTATTATATAGGCTTATTTTTTATCTTGGTACATGCCTGTTGCTTTTGAACCAGTGTTTGGTGTGCTAACTAATATTCAAAAAGGTTCTTGATGATTAAAATTTAAAATAAAACAAAAATAAAATAAAATATTAATAACAGATGAATATATATATATATATATATATATATATTATGATTCATCTATTTCACAGCACTAATAGAAATAGACAAAAACAATATATATAGAAAAAAGTTAATTAAAATGACATGAGTACAAAGCGAAATGACGAAAACTGGAATGAAATTTAAAATAGAAAATAAAAGCTAATTCATAAATGCTATAAAAATAATCCTAAAATGCCATGTTCTCCCACACGTCTCTGTTGTTGTTCAGATATATATCCCGTCAGTGATGCAGTTGATTGAAATGTCGCCGGTGAACTCTGACCTTCAGCTGGCAGCGCTCCGCTTACTCACTAATCTGTCAGTCACCGATAATCACCAGCATCTGATGAAGAATTCTATCACCCTCCTCTTATCGCTGCTCGTAGTGAGCAATGCAGTCCTACAGGTGATTTGGGATTTATGAGTTAAATGATATGTGTACACAATCAGATTTATTGAATATTTAATCTGTTCCTGCAGATCCAAGTCCTGAAGGTCCTAGTAAATCTTTCCTCCAATCCAGATTTGATGGACGATATCGTGCAAGCTCAGGTGAACAAATGAGTCTTTTATGCTTTCACTTTATTGTAGGTGAGATCCAGTCCAGTGACTTTTCTCTCATGCAACACAATATGATTATAAATAGATATCCCTATAAATAACTCTCTTGGTTGCTGGGTGTCCTAGTTTGTCCCGTTGGCTTCCTGTTGATGCCTAGATCTATTTTAAGGCCAGTTTAGAGCTGCCCGGAATAACAAAAAATACTTAAAGTTGCAGTCCATAGCTTTTTTGGGTTAAAAATGATCTAAAATACATATTTGAGAAAATACATAACCATCCAGTGTTGAAAACTATCTGCAAAGTGCTCGAATCTCCCACGGAAATCCACCAGTATCGCTGGAATTAAAAACATTATTACAAGCTTACCGCTTTGAATCAAGCTACGGCAGGCAGATAACGTTGAACACTGGCCGGTTATGTATTTTTCAAATATGTATTTTGGATAATTTTTTAACGACTGCAGCTTTAAATAACCATTTTTTTCATCCTTAATTTAGTTCTTCTATTGTTAAGAGCTTATGTATTTGCACACGTTCCTCCAGTTACTTGTAAATTTGTTCCTAGGCTCCAGCCTCCTTGATTTTGTTGTTTGACGGCTGCACAAGCACATCTGTTCTTCTCCGCCTGTTGTTTTTCGTGGGGAACCTGCGTGCGTGGAGACCCTCGGCACAGGTGGCTGAAGCTCTGAGGACGAGGCAGGACTCTCTGTACTGTGTTCTACTGGACAACTCCTCTCAGGTGCACCGTAAGCTTCCCCTGCTGCTTTCACATCCAGACGAGGAGGTGAAGACGCAGGTGGCCAGGCTCCTCACTTAACCTCTTACAGAATACATCTCATCAAATATACCTGTCCTTCTATGTTCACCTACTGAAACGTTCAGGCTCAGCACGAACAGTGGAGCAGTGTTGATATCTGCTGGTAGCAGGTGATCCACTTGGTGGGCCATCAGTATCCTATCAAAATGTTGGAAAATGGACAAGATATGACTCCGTCAGGTGATTCGAGAGAGGTTTGTTTATATAATAGACATTTGTGAACACCACAAATCTCCTCTGAGAAGCTTTGAGAACGTCTCCACTGCCAAACGTTTACTTGCCAAGTGAATACATGTAAGCTTGCAGGTATTTTCTCGGACCACACTAAGTGCTTTGGAAATCCAGACTAGTGATGGTAAGGACTCTGCATGTGTTTAGAAATGTTAAACCTTGAAAAAAAAAGCCTTTCTTCAGTGCTGCATAATACAAGTGAAGTTTACCATTGAATAAAGGTTATTCAGGTTATGCTGAGGTAGAAATTATCCAGGAACCTTATTTTTACAGAATCTGCATTGATTGTACTGTGATTTTGTTTTTTGATGCTTGATGATGAGATTAACATAATTTAATAAAGGTTATTTCATTTTGTAAGGCAATTCTGAAAACAATGGTTGCTTCACAGTTTAATGTTTGCTTTCACATTATTTTGGAATGCTTTCTGGCTTATATGTCAGGTTTGTGAAAGTTATTTTAAATAAATATTTAAGTTTTAATATAATAATAAATATGAAATTGGTTTTTAATGCAGAGAAATAACTTTAATTCGCTCTTGAATCGCAGCTGTGTGAGAACAACATTTCCCATTAATCTTAGCAAACCATCAAGGGTTGCCATGTCTGTTTAATATAAACGAATTTGTGCTGTTGTTTGGTTGTTGTTTTTTTTACATTTATTTCCCCACCATAATGTAATAAAATATGACGATTCATTGTTATATCGTGTTATGAAGTTAGTTTTTTTTTTTTGGTCAGCAATTCTGGTTTGCTAAATGTTTCTAGGAGCTCAAGCGCTATCTGTTTTTCAGTATTACGGATTGTATCAGATTGTTCAGAAATATGGAAACTTGTTTCCACCACAGAATAAAAAGTAAAAAAGGTAAGGGAATCGACCAAAAACTCGCACTTCTTTTTTTTTTTTCATTATATTTTTTAGTTGTTTTTTGTTTGTTTGTTTTTGTTTTTCTTTCAGAATTGTAAGATTATAACTAGGAGTTCTGAGGGAAAATAAAATAAAAAATGGGGTACCTTATTTTGGGTTGGTTATTTTGGTTACCTTATATAATATTTTTTACTAAATTTAAACCTGTCGACTTGTTTTTCCAGCGAGATCTGGCAACACGGTCGCTCAGCGTAAGTGCGTTTGAATCACATGAAGCTGATTACATACTGAAGAACTGCGAACTGTCATATCATTCGAGACTGCGTGGATTGACAGAGAAGACAATGTGCTGAAATGACAACGAATATAGAGACACGAAAAAGGAAACTCGACACAAAAACTCAAGGTAAACAACACAAGAGTAAGACCATTTTGTGTAAACGAAAGTGCTAAAATAATCCACTGACTTGAATTGTCAATATAGTGCAAAGCATTATTTTACCACAGCAGACAGTTGCACATTTGCTCCAATTACATCGGACTTTTGATATGAAACACTGGATGTAACGTTAAAAATAACTCAAGTGACGTGAATAATGAATGCATGTCCGTTGCATTTTACATGAATGGGTCAACTTGTATTGTGATTTATCCTGGACATAAATGAATCAGAATTGCTCAAGAAAGAATTTCTTCTAAAGTATTTGCAGTCAGTCAGGTTTCTGTTGTGAAATGATTCTGAAACCGCATCAGTCAACACTTCTCCATTTACTATGCATTAATTCCTCTCTGTGGTGTCTTGGGAAATATCTGAATTATCATGTTGATGTTGAAACGCAAATTTATGTGTAAAAATGTGTACTGAAAGTACTGCATATTTGATATTCAGTGGTCTAAAAGGTATTTGGACACTTAAAGGATTTAGTTCACCCAAAAATAAAAATTCTGTCATAATTTACTCGCCCTCATCTTGTTCCAAACTGAAGTATCTTTCTTCTGAACACAAAAGACTATATTTTAAAGAATGTGGGTAACCAGCCATATTTTATTCCCACTATGGAAGTCAATCCGGGCCCGTCTCCGTCAACTGTCTGGTTACAACATTCTTCAAAATATCTTCTTTTTGGTGTTGTTGTTTAGCAGAAGAAAGAAACTCATTCAGGTTTGGAACAACTCGAGGGTAAGTCGTGACAATTTTTATTTTTGAGTGAACTGACCATTTAAGTCACATTTAAGAATGTAAGAATATCACTGGATTACATAACAAAATATATATAAAAAATTGGCTTATTAATACTTAATAATAAACCATTCCATGATTTCATCTAATTCCTCAGATTCTCCAGAGGACCATGATGGAGCTCATCTGCCTGGCTCTGGCTGTGACCGGGTTTGTGTAGCTCACATTCATTCAGAGCCCAGCGATGGCCCTGCTCAGTCCTGTTTACAGCAAACAAGTGCCTCCTACACACCTAAAAACCAACAGAGAAGTGAGAGCCCATGTACACAAATAAAAGCAAGGGTGTTTTTTTTCTGAACTGGTTTGAGACTTTTTAATGCCACTGAAAACACTCTTCTGTTTTCAGCATGCAGCTTTGGTGATGAAATACACGATGAGAACCCGTCCAAGACCACCTTAAGTGCTGAAAATGAAGTAGAAGCTCAAAAACTCGCAAATAATTATAAGGTAAATGTACATTGAGCACACATGTCTAGTTTCATTTAGCGTAATATTGATGCTGATGTCGTTTTGTCCTCTTTATTTAAGTTTGGATTCAGGAAGTGGAAGAGTCATGTGACAGAACGGCCCTTTGAGTACAGGTCGGATATTGTGAAGGAGCTTTACTCTGAGCTGAACGTTATTAAACCTTACTCAGGTTAGACCGAGCTCTTCTTATTTCCTTCTGTAGTGCATGTACAGTATCAGTAAAAGGTTTGGACATGCCTTCTCATTTGTGTTATTACTTTTATTTGAAAAAATAGAAAATAAAGCAGTCGAAACTATTAAAAATATTAAATTATTAATTAAATGTATGATTTATTATACAATTATTATTATTAAAGAACCAAAAATGTTTATACTTTCAAACTCTTTTACACTTGTACTGTATATTTCAATCAAAAAATAATTTAATGTAATACTTTTTTATTTCTTATGCCCTTTGATATTCCATCTAGGTAATGTTGTAATGCATTATTATGATGATTTTTGGATGCAATTTCACTAATTAGAGAAACGTGGCGGTACATTAATTTGTTCCCCTGTACTGTAATTATATTTTTTTTATCCTCGGGTTTCAGCAGGTTCATTGTTCACTTGTGGCAATGTTCTCTACGTGCTTCTGTTTGGCTGGTGGATCTCTCTGGTTTATGTTTTCGTTGGTGTCCTAATGTTCCTCACAGTTTTTGGCATCCCCTATGGTAAGAATTGATCTAAATAAGTATCAATTCATTTTAGTGCCTCTCCCTGGATCACAAAGGTGCCACTTTCTTGTTTCAGGGAATCTCTGCTGGAGGTTGTCTTGCTATTTTCTGTGGCCATTTGGGAAATCAATCGCAAAGGTTGTGTTTCATTTTATATCCAAAAGATATGTGTATGTTTGTGGCGTGCACTCCTGATCTTTTTATCAGTCTCATGACAGCTCTACACACACAGTCTCTTTTCTTTTGCTTGCTCCATGAAAATCAGGCTAATACTGCATTCATGGATTTTTTGTGTTTTTTAAAGGGTAACTAAACCCCTGGTCAGAGCATGACTCCACCCACTGGCAGTATTTGAAAATGCTGAAAAAGTGGGCAGACCCCAGCGGAGATAGAGGGGACGAAATAGATGCTAAAACACTCTATTCTGATCGTTTTCAATACTCACAATTCCAATTACTGACTCCCTACAGCGGTTTTGATGACACAAGATAGTTTTTATACTGCGAAGGGCGTAGCTCACGTGGTGAGCTGAAACCTGCGTACATCACGAAGTGCGGAACATCCAATAGGAAAATTCAACTGCAGTAGCCACCGTTCAACCTGAAGAGGGCAGCACTAAGACGTTTTACACCATATAGGCCTATTGTAGAAATAAAACACTTTATAAACAAATGTCAAAAAAGTTACTCGAATCAATGACTGGTTTTAATAAAGATCAATTCTTACGGATCATTAACTAAAAAAAGTTGGTTTAGTGTTTAGTTACTCTTTAAAGAAAAAATGAACCCAATGTTGTTGTTTTTAGGCCAGTGTCTCTGTGCCAGTGTACAGTGTGAAGATCCTTCAGTGTAATTCCACTCGAGAGGCAGAGGAGAACGGAAAGCCTTCCTCTCCTCTCCTGCTGCCCACACCCATGGAGGAGACCATGGAAGAGCCCACAGGAAGTCCACAGGACCACCACTACTGGGTGAGAAGTGTCAACCAGATATTAGATGAAATGTCATTAACACATGCTATCAAATTAATTTATCATTATTTTTATAAATGTAGCCTCAGCCTGCATAACATAATTATTAATCAAGAGACTGCATATATTATTTGTACCACCATTGTATAGGCTATATATTATTTGGACACCACCAGACTATTTTAGTGAAATACAAATACACTGATAAGTGATTAAAATGGTTAAGAACTAAAAACCAAACAAAAATTAAAATTAAAATTGAACTTTCTGTTCATCTAAGAACGTAAAAGTACCAGGATTTACAACTGCAGTACACCTGTATTCAACATTGATAATAATAATAAATGTTTTTTGAGCAGCAAATGATTTCTAGTGAATGTTTTTTCTGAAGGATCATGTGACACTGAAGACTGGAGTAATGATGCTGGAAATTCAGCTTTGCCATCATCACAGGAATAAATTACATTGTAAAATCTATTTAAAATAGAAAACAGTTATTTTGAATTGTAATATTTTTCACAATGTTACTGTATTTTTCCATCAAGTAAATGTCAAATAATTTTAATATGGTTTCCATCAAATAAAACATTAAAAAGTCATACCAACGCCAAACTTTTGAACAGTAGTGTGTATAATTTAGCTCATTTGGAGTTCTCTAAAATAGTCTTATGGTGTAAAATCTATAATTCTAACCTTGAGTTATTGTTGCAGGACTGTATCATTTGTCCTTAACTGAGAATGTATCCTCCCGATACACCATTTCTAGCATTTTGTATTTTTCCCTTTAGACTTTGTACTGATATCACTAGATTCCAGCTTTCCCATAATGTGGATCCCATATGATTTCAGTGGCGCTTGAGAACATATGCATGGCTGTTTGTGGGTTACCCTCTCCTCGTCGTCACACACTCTGTGGTGTGTCTGATCTCCTGGCTGCTGGTTTTCACCATTCCTGTGGCCAAGATGAGCGGCAAGACCTTACACACCATCCTGCTCATGCCCCCCGAACACATTCACATCAACCACGCCACGGCGGTGAGAGCACTGTACTATGATTATGAAATCCACTGAGGTTTTGCCAGCTGTGAATTAATACTAATGTATCATATTTGCAAATTTACACAATTTAACAGATTTTTATTTTTTATTTTCTATTTTTTTATTTCTTTTTTAGGCCCAGGAGAATGAAGGCCAAGTCATTCTGTGTTGCTACTATGCAGTGAATCTCTACTACTATAAATACACAGTGGATGGGATCAATGTTTTTGCTGTCAGTATCCTATATCAAACTATAAATTGAAGTTTGAATCTGTTGTTTTATAATGCTGAGATTCAGAAATTTATTGTCAGTTTGCATGTAGTACTACACAAATCTCCAAAAGTATCTTATGCTCAACAAGGGGGCTTTTATTTGATCAAAAATACAGTAATATTGTGAATAAATATTACTCAAAATTGAATTTATTTTACTATGTAATTTATTGCATTTTCAGCATCATTACTCCAGTCTTCAGTGTCACATGATCCTTCAGGAATCATTCTAATATGCTGATTTGATACTTAAGTAACATTTCTTATTATTATCAATGTTGAACGGTGCTGCTTAATATGTTTGTGGAAAAAGATTCACTGTTTACTGGGTTTTTTGCCATTTTCCTTACATTGAGTTACTTTAGATCTCTTACCATTAGTTATAGTGTCACTAATAATTGGTTACGTGGACAAAACAAACCAGTTTGCCAGCTCAGAAGTCAAGTTTGCCACAGCAATCAGCTCCATCATTCCACTGTCGTATTATATTGGCATGGGCATTGCAAGGTGAGCAGTTACTCCAGCACTTCACCAATACCTTTGAGATTAACACTAATGGCGTATCTCATTTCTGACCTCTATTCTCAGTATTTCCGCTCAGAGTAACTTTGCTGTCGGGGCCGTGGTGAACGCAACATTCGGTTCCATCACAGAGTTGACCTTTTACATCACGGCATTGCTCAGAGGTCACCACCAGGGAAACAAGTGCCTGCAGGAGATAGTGAAGTCGGCTCTTACTGGAACCCTGTTGGGCTGCATCCTCTTCATACCAGTATGTCATCCGTTACTATGGAAGCTTGATTCCACCATGGAATAAAAAAATTAAAGAGGTAATGTCATAATTCGTACTTTTTTTTCTCAGAATTGTTACTGTTTTTCTCAGAATTGCGAGTTTATATCTCACAACTCGGAGTTTTAATTCTTTTATATTCTTTTTATATAGAGTTTATATCTTGAAATTCTAACATTTTGTTTATATTATTAGGAATGAATAAAGGTAATTTAAGGCAAGGGAATTGCTACTTTAAAAAAAGTACGAATTGTGAGATATAAACTCGGAATTGCAAGAAAAAAGTATGAATTGTGAGATATAAATTCGGAATTCCGAGAAGAAAAAAGGAACTGTGACAAACTTGTTGGAATTGCAAGAAAAAAGTATGAATTGTGAGATATAAACTCCGAATTGGGAAAAAAGTAGGAATTGTGAGATATAAACCAGAATTGGCTAAAAATTAAGAATTGTGAGATTTAAACTCGGTGTTAAAAAAATGTAATTGAGTCTTTTATTTCGCAATTAAAACTTTTTTCCCTCAGAATTGTGATATTTATATTTATTACAATGTTATTATACATTTGTTACATTATTGTTATACATTTGTTACATTATTCTTTTTTAAAAAGTAGCAAATCTTTTCAAGAAATGTATCGATTCTTTATGAAAAAAGTAGTGATTCTTTTTTGAAAAAGTAGCGACTTTTTGAAAAAGTAGCGATTATTTTTTTTAAGTAGCAATTTTTTTCGAAAAGTAGTGATTCTTTTTTGAAAAAGTAGTGATTCTTTTTTGAAAAAGTAGTAAATCTTTATTAAAAAAGTAGCAATCCTTTTTGAAAAAGTAGCAATTATTTTTCTTTAAGTAGCAATTATTTTTTTAAGTAGCAATTCTTTTCGAAAAAGTAGTGATTGTTTTTTGAAAAAGTAGTGAATCTTTATGAAAAAAGTAGCAATCCTTTTTGAAAAAAGTAGCAATTCTTTTTTTAAAGTAGTGATTTTTTTTTTAAGTAGTGATTCTTTTTTAAAAAAGTAACGATTCTTTTCTGTAAAAAGTAGTGATTCTTTTTTTAAAAAGTAACGATTCTTTTCTGTAAAAAGTAGTGATTCTTTTTTGAAAAAGTAGTGATTCTATGAAAAAAGTAGTGATTCTTTTTAAACTTAGAATTGTGAGAAAAAAGTCAGAATTGTAAGATTAAATTAATTTAAAAAAAGTTATTTTATCCCTCAATTCTGACTTTTTTCTCACAATTGTGAGTTTATATCTCACAAATCTGTCTTTATATTACAGTTTTATTAATTTTAGTAATTTTTAACTAATTCATTTTAGTAATTTTTAACTACAGTTTTAGTAATTTTATATCTCACAATTGATATAAATTTATAAGATTTATAAAAAAAAGTCAGAAATGTGATAAACTTCACAAAGTCACATTTTTTTTTTTAATTCTGTGGTGGAAACAGTTTTCTATTAGACGTTACCTTACAGAGGATCTTAAATCTGCAAAGTGTGCAGTAGATGACTATTATATCTGTCTATGTCAGGGGATCTGTATGATAATCGGAGGACTCAGGCACAGTGAGCAGAGGTTTAACAGTCGCTCAGCGGGGGTCAGCTCCTCTCTGCTCTTCATATCAATAGGGGGTAAGATGAGGCGACGGAAATCTGCTTGTTATTGCGCTTTTCTCCTGGAGTAATTAAAGGCAATGTGAAATAGCATTTAATGCGTAAGCTCATTCACAAAATGTGATTTGAAAATGCACAACCAAATTGTATTTAGTAAAAGTTTAAGTTTGTGAAATGCTGTTTTAATTTTTGTGAATGTGAATTAGTTTTAATCATAGCAATGAATCATATTTCATCAATCAACACATTTTGAGACTGTTGTAGCTCCATCATTTCCTACTGTGGTCTCTGTAGGAGTGTTTGCCCCTACGCTCTTCTCCAAAGCCTATGGGAATCTAGTGTGTGAGGACTGTACCAACTCTACAGGAACCAACAGCAGCGGATCCTTCATGTGCAAAAATTGCCACTACGACCTGGTGAGATTTCAAACATGCATCACGTAGAAATAAAAAAAACATGACACCGGAAAGTGAAACATCAAGCCATTTTCTGCGCATTTTTTCTTTCTGGTCCACTAGAGTGAAAACAACTACAGCTTGTTTCACAGTCACATTGAGTAAGTTCATAGTGTGAGCATTTTGTATACTCAGTACTTTGTGTGTGTGTGTATATATATATATATATATATATATATGTATAATTTTAATTTTAAAAAGGATTAATCATTCATATTTTTAGGACTGCTAATATAGTTTTGTTGTGGCTGTTGACGTGTCTCTGTTTTCTCAGGCCTCTAGTGTACACCATTTCCATTCTACTGCCCATATCCTATATCATCGGCCTCATCTTTACACTTAAAACTCATTCACACATTTACGACATTCACGTTGGTGACGGACCGGGTGAGTTTGCTAAATCTTGACCACCACAACTTCATAAGGTAACATTGTAGGTCTGCAGAATGAGATGAAACACAACGTGTGTGTTCACAGCAGGTCATCTTGGAGCGTCTGTACACTGGTCCCGTTGGAGAGCTTTGCTTATCCTCATCATTGCCACAGTCCTGATGTCTGCGTGTGCCGATCTGACCACCGAACACATTCAGCCCATACTCAACCGCTCGTCTGTATCTCAGGTTAATACTGCAGTAAATCAGTCAGACAGTAAATAACAGCTCAATATGAATGTATTATGATCCTGACTCTTCATCACAGTATTTCATAGGTGTGACTCTTTTGGCCATGATCCCTGAAATCCCAGAAATTGTCAATGGAGTGCAGTTTGCTCTTCAGAATCAAATCAGTTTGAGGTCAGTTTGTTCGGTAACACCATACTGGGAGTTTTATATTTAACATGTATTAGGCATCATGAAAAAACTATGGAATCATTCATTCAATCCCTGGTCTTGTCTACTAAAAGTACATGCATTTTGTTGTTTTTTCCCAGTTTCGAGGTTGGAAGCTGCATCGCGGTGCAGGTGTGCATGATTCAGATCCCCATCCTGGTTTTATTCAACATCTTTTATGTGAGATATTATGCACACATGCTAATGTACATACACTCAAAGTTAGCTCACTGACGGCTATATGTCAATGTGTTTTCCTAATGATCTTTCTGTCACAGGACGTTGGCTTTGTACTCGTCTTCAGCGACCTGCATCTGTGGGCCAGCATCTTTAGTGTCATCGTTGTGAATTATAGTTTTATGGACGGAAAGTCGGATTACTTTCAAGGTAATGAGATAAATATTCAGTAAATCAGGGGTTAGGAACCTTATCCAGTACTGGCTGTTCATTACAAAAAGTTGTAGACTCCTGCTCAAAAACGACCATCGTTAAAAATGTTGGCATCAGTAAGTGTTACAAAAAAAGTCTAACTTTTAATAAATGGGGATACATTACAGTTTCCATAAAAATATTAATGTATCATTTTTATTTCTTTTATACAAAAAAAAATATTTTAACTAAGAAAAAACAATGAAAAATCATCAATACAAAAAGCTACACTGTAAAAAAATATTGTTGGTTTAACTTAAAAAAATAAGTAACCTGGTTGCCTTAAAATTTTAAGTTCACTGAAATGGAAAAATTGAGTTAATACAATGAAGGAGATTGATTTAATCATCAGAAACTGAAAATATTATGTTATCTGAACCACATTAATTGATTTGACAAAAGAAAAAATGTAGTGATTACAAATCATGAACATATATTTTTACAGTGTATTTGTGATTATGTACACTACTTTTTTGTTTTCATAATTAGTACCACGATCTCCTTTACCACTCTTTATTTGTTCATCATATTGATTTGAATGAGTTTTGTTAATTGATAAAACTCTCTTTGTATTCCAGGTACTGCTCTTGTGGTGGTGTATCTCATCCTGTTGGCAATGTATTTTTTTGCTCCATCTCCTGCTGGTTGTTGAGAGGCAAAGACATTTCAGCACAATACATTGGTTATGAAATTTACAATATGAAACACTGTTGTGGTTTCAGATTAATGTTAGATTTAGACTAATGTTAGTGTTTTAGACTATTATTCATAACATTTTATTATTTCGTACATCAGTAACAATTCTTTTCTGTTGTGTTCAACAAGAATCTGATCTGATTTAGCACTTTACTTGCAGAAGTACAGAAGAATACTTGTGATGATAGGGTTTATTATTTTAATAATAATGTGGCGCACAATAAATTATTTTGGAGTGTACATAAATAATAGTTCAAACTATTTTATTATGAAACATATTTGGAATTTTCCAAACCCAGTTAGTGTGATGCTGGGTGTTTGTACAGGTCCTAATGATGAACCCTCAGTTACTTGAAATCATAGTATAGATGGCATTGTTTAAAATATTTGCAAAGTGACCTATTTGAGGTAACAATTTGATTTGTTGCACTGACCTGTTGTTCTTACTATGTCTTTTTAAACAGAAGTCTAAAAAGTATATTTGTGATGTAACTATTTTAACAACTTGTCTTGAGTATTTTCTATCTTTTAAAATATGAAATTTAGGATAAATCTCTGGAGTAAGTGTGTGGAACAATCTGTAACAATGTTGCCTTGAAGAGGTTGACTAAATAAATAATAATAATAATAAAAAAACATTAAAATAAACAAAATCAGTGTTTGGATTTTTCTAGGGGGAAATTGATGTACAAGATTATACATTATAAATGCTGGATTTTATTTGTGAGTAACAATCACAGATATTTGAAAGCTCTGATGACCCCACAAGTCATAAAAAACTCTATGAATGTGTAAAAAATGCTTTCCATTTCGTCTTCAGATTGTGAAATTCTGTGCGGAACTGAGGATTGACCGCTGCATAGATGATGGGGTTAGTGAGGGATGTCATGCAGACCAAAGACACTGTTAAAATCTCCAGCTCCCGAAAAACCTTCACCTGAAACACATTAATAACTGTGTTATAGTTACTGGATGATACCCATTCAACTTGGCAGTATGTTCAATGCACTTCTAAATAACTGAATAAAATCAGTATTATTTTCTAGAACAAACATTCTCATATCTTCAACACTCATATCTTCCATAATTATTATTTATTTCTTCTATTTTTTGTTATAAGCATAAACAAAAGTATTTGTTATTACTATATCTGTACATTTGACTATTTTGTTTAGTATAGTATAGTTTTAATCTACTATTTATTTGTATTTAAAGCACAATTTAAGTAGCTCGCTGTCTCAATTTTTTTAAGTACAATCAACTTGGATGTTTAAGTTATTTCAACTTAAATTACATGAGTTGAATCTTGTATAACTTAAGTTGAAAATTGCTTAACTTATTTTGATGAGTTAAAGCCATGCAAAAACATTTGTCATAACACATTGATCATATAAATTTTTTTTAAAATTTAACTTATTTTAAAACTTTATAACTTATTTTTTTATAGATATTTATTTTTATTATCCCGCAACTCAACTCACTGTTAGATTCCCATTTCGGTAATAGAAGTGATTCAAGACCACTGTCCCAATTAGCGGGATCCAAAATATGAGGAAGGTGAAGATGATGTATCCGGAGCGCTTGGCCAGTTTGCTCTCCTTCTTGGCGTTTCCTCTTTCTCTCTGAGCGAGAGAGGGCATTATACAGACAGCACCCACCACCTCCTCCTCCTCTTGTGGAGCAGCTGTGGTTTCTCCAGTTGATGCTGCAGCGGTTTCTTGAGGAGCGCTTTGCTCTTCAGCATTTTCTCCATTTCCTGATGCTGGAGAAGTTTCAGTAATATCTTGTGGAGCACTTGTCTCAACAGTACCATCTTCATTAGTTGATGGAGAAGTTTCTGAAGTTTTATCTTGGTCAATTGGGTCTTCATCATCACCCTCTTCTCCATCAGTGACTTTGTTTGACTCTACAGCACCAACTTCCTCATTGGATGGAGAAGTATCTTGGTGGTCGTTTGGTTCCACAATAACCTCATTGGGAAGTTCATTCATGGATTTTTCAGTCACAAACTCTGGTTCGTTTATATTCAAATAGTCAGTCACAGTTGTTGTGGGAAGTTCCTCAGATGTTGGATGTAAATTTTGTTGGATCTTTTCTCCAAACGGCTCTTTTTCATTGGGGTTTAAATGACCAGTATCGATTGTCCGTGTGTTTTCTTTCTCGTTTTTAATACTATTCTTTGTTTCCTCCTGTTTTGGGCTTTTATCCTCTTTCTTTTTACCAGGTTGTGGAAGCGAACCCTTATCGAAAATTTTCCGACCGTGCGCTCTTACCAAGAGGAAAATGCGCGCGTAGAATCCAACGATGGCCGTCAAACACACGCACCAGACGGGAGTCAAAATATAAAGTCCAAAAGTGTCGTAAGAGTCGAAAGTCTCCATCCGCAAGCCTCTACATCTTATGTACACCGGCGAGTCTTTCGCAAATATCACGCAAATGACCGAAATGGAGATTGGAGCCAGCCAGGTCAAGAGAATCCAAACTGTTACCCGTTTTCTGCTCTCGGCGCTTTTAAACGGATGCGCAATGGCTTGATATCGCTCGGCGCTGATGCACGCCAGCGTGAGCAACTGCACGCAACAGATGAGAGAAAACGACGCGATCTGCGCGCTGCAGAAAACCAGTCCGAGGTCTCGCGCCACGTCGCGAGCGCTCAAAACAATGCTGAGGAGCAACGGGCAGTCGATGGCGCATCGCAGGATGTCAATGACGGCCAGATTCACCAGGAGAGCGTTGTTGGACGTCTGGAGAGACTTCTGGTGGTGCACGGCCCACGCCACGAACAAGTTGGCGAGAAGTCCAACGTGTAAGGTCACCAGCAACACTAGACAATTGGCAGCCACAAATGCAACTTCTGTAGTGTCTTGCCATGTGTTGTTCACTTGGCTCCAAACAACGGTGGAATTACTTCTCATCTCCAGTCAAATAACGGCTAATTCCATGTCTTTTTCAATCACATGTCGATTTCTACTAGGAGTAAAACTATACAGTAGATGCAACAACTCAATCTCTTTTCTCTTGCTTTTTGAGAGTCTGCAGTGGCTAATAAAGCCCTTTATTTGAACCCTCATCATTACCATGGTTCTCCATTTGTTTGCGCTTTTCAATTAACACCCTGCAGGGCTGATGGTCACCAGGGATGCTTTTTTGTTTTCGCCAATTACTGCAAAATCCTATTTTTAATTATTTCCCACTTTATTTCTGCCTAAGGTTTTATTCATTTGTTGATTTCTTGGCAAGGTCTACATTTTTGAACTGGGTTAAATCTTTTTTTGTTAATTTGAAAGAAGTAGTTATTTTTAATAGAATGAATAGCGTCATAATAAGCATGGTGTTTGATTAAGGCTGTAGTTTATGCTCTTATTGTCATGGTGATCACATCAGTAATCTTGTTTTGAGGGGATTAATTTAGGAAAGGTTTTATTCTCTAATTATTATAGAGATTAAGATGCTCACTTTATCAGTGAGGTTTATTGCTCTCTATTTTAATATCATCTTGGCATATGTAAAAAAAAATTTAAGTACAATCAACTTGGATTTTTATCATTATTTTTATCCTTTTTTTTTTATTATTTTGACCACAAACTTATATAACATATGTCTTCTTAAACAGTAATACACAATGATTCACATTGACAGACCTCAGATCAGGCTGGAATAACCCTGCTTTGGCTCATCATTACACCAGCAGTGCCACGAGGGATGTATCGACCACAGGACAGGATTTCCAGAGAGGACTCTCGGAACTGGACAAACATATTTCAGAAAATGACTGGAGCGTTTCGTTGCACAGTGTGCCTTGTATATAAAACCAATGCATTCTGTCGAAGAATATGCAGGCACATGAAACATACCCGTTTGTTGGTAAGGAAGTAGATGATGGGATTGTAGACCGGGCTGGTTTTGGCGAAGTACATCGGCATGGTGGCAACCAGAGGTGGGATGTAGATGTCTGGATTCACAACCACAACCACAGAGAGTGCGGTGTAAGGCAGCCAGCAGATGAAGAAGGCGACGATCATGGCCAGTACCATCCGTACCGCATACTCGTTGTCCTCCAGGCAGTTTTTTCCTCCCTGAAGTTCAATGCTTTTGTTGATCTGAAATGATGGAATGTCATTTGCAGTGATATGAGAAGTAAAAGATCATGGTTTGGATATAAGAATGTCCACGGTCAAAATAGAGTAAATCACCTTTTGAAAGTACAGCTTGACACTTCTAATAAAGACTGTATATCAATTACATTACATCAGTATGTGGTGAAAAAAAAAATCATTGACTGAACTACAGCGAGTCACCTACCTTCCTTATGGACACGAGGACGTTGCTGTAGCAGTATATAATGACAGCAGTGGGTAATATGAAGCACATAAGCGTGTAGGCGATGAGGTAACTGTAGTTTGTCCAGGATCTCTCCTCCCAGCCCAATGAGCAGGACGTCTGGACGCCCTCGGGCCCGTACGAGCTCCAGCCCAGCAGTGGAGCGACGGCCCAGAAGAGGCAATAGAGCCAGACCAACGCCAGGCCCTGGCAGCTCCTGCAGACGTTCAGCTTGAAGCCTGCCATGGGTTTGCAGACTACATTGTAGCGCTCGTATGCCAGTAGTGTGAGAGTGCATAATGAAACCAGGCCTAGAAAATAACACATTAACATACATTTTATTAGACTTTTTTATGCAGTAGTTATACAACAGTTTCTTTCATGTTTTTTCAGCAAAACTAATCAGAAATGATGAGATTAATCAGTATTTTATTATATTTTACAGATACGGTTATAATTATTCATTGCTTTTAGTAGTTAGTTTTTATAATGTCTTTTTATTTGTAATAAATGTATATAAATACTGTTTATATTATATTATATATCTTTACACATTAACTTTTTAAGTGTAAGCATGTAACATTATACAAATTGTATATTTATAAATTACATTTAGAAAAAATTCTAATACATATTTAAATACTTAAAGTAACACCAGGGAACTTTTCAACCCACATAATATATTTCCAAGTCTCTTGTGATGATACATCGACTTACAATAGGTTGAATGACACGTCTGCCATAGCCTGACGGGGTCTGTAGCGTTTTTAATCATACTTTTAAACTTCGAGTTAAATCTCTTTGTATATTCTCAGTTGCAATTAAAAAAAAAATTAATAATAAACTTCGGGTTTCGGGTAGTAACCCCGCGAACAAAGATAACTACAATATTCGACTGCTTGACGGCATATACGTCACTTCCACCAACACCCTCACTTCCTTAAAATCCGACGTGCGAGCCAAATGTTATAGTCAACGGCTCTGTCATGCCCGAAGCAGCACAAAAAACAAGAAAGCAAAGGTTGTTTTATCGGAGCAAAGCAAAAAGAGAAAGTGGTCGGGTTAAAGGCAGAACGAGGATCAATTTTGGGACAACGTTTTCTGGCGTGAGCTGAAGGAGGAGGGTGGCCGACCCATGCGTGCTTGGCGGTCATGCTTTTGGACTAGTAAGTACGTTATGTTGCTTGCATCTTTTTTTTGTTTGTTTGTTTTTTTGGTCTGCCAGCTATTATCCTCCGTTTATCTTCAAAATAAAGTTAACTGGTGTTTTAACTTCTAAACGGCGTTTGGTGAGGGCTTCTTGCGATGTACAAAATCATATTTTAAAATACCTAACATGTCTGAAATTCGTTTATTTTTCTTGCCTCGAGCTACAATGCAAATCGATTTGAAAAATTTGCAGATTCATTTATGGTAGCTTGATATTATATGGTTATTATCGACCACTCAAACATTGCATTGAAGCATCATATAGATTCAGTAAAACGGTAACCATTAGATGAGGCTACTATAATGACGCTGGCTTGTAAACGTGAGCAACGCGATCATTTGTCGTTAGAAAAAAAAAAAAAAATCCATGAAATTATATTCAAATGACATGCTGAAATACATGCCATACCTGGGATGAAGACATTTCACACGAGACGCAAGCAGAACAGCTGTATGTGACCTCCTACAGTGTTCAGGGCTATCAAGGTTGTCAACAAATGCGCGTGCATGTAAGATGAGAGTTTACGACAGAAGTAGAGGACAATACTGTTTCCCAACTGTAGGGGGACCCCCGAGAGGAAAAACTGCCTGGTGTTACTTTAATATTTTTCTGATGCTTTTTAAATGGGTCTTTACATATGAAAAATATAATAGCCTTAAAAAAAAATCCAATTATTCAATTTTATATTTAAAATGCGTCATATTAATACATATGTAATATTTAATTTTAAATGGGTTTTTACACATAAAATAGCTTTGCTATAAAAGGTTATACTTAAAATATATTAATTAATATTATAAGTATGTAATATTTTAGTTTTAAACATTTAAAATTCATATAAATGTTTTTTTTAATAATTACAAATATTAAATATTATTATTATTAAACTACTTTTTTATTTTCCTCAAACATTTGATTATATTTTTATGTGTAAAGACCCATTCAAAATATGTAAATAATATAAATTCTTATAATATTAAATGTTTAATGCTAAAAATATTGCATATTTCTATTATTCTTATTATATATTTTAAATATAACATTGAATAATTGGCTTTTATAATAGGCCTTTACACATGGAAAAATATGATATCCTCTACATGGGGAAAAAAATCCTCATACACTCAGAAGGGCATCAACATAATTGGGGACACATCACATTCAGTACTCACCAAAATAGTTCACAGCAAATCCTTGAAAAACACAGAATGCATGCCCTAAAAAGAAAGACCCTTCATAATTTGTGATGGTGACGATCGCAGAGCCGCAGGTGGCAATCAAAAGATCTGACACAGCCAGGCTGAGAATGATGACGTTCATCGCATTGAGAAAATGCAAGTTCTTCAGCATTACGGCTATTACCAACAAGTTATTAAAAACAGAAAATAGAGTGTTTATAAACATGAGGTATGAAAGTATGCTGTAGCCCACGCGTGGAAAAATAGTAGGTTGTACCGTCATGGCCAAATCTGTTGTCGTGACACTCTCCATGATTGAGAATGAGTTCTGGAGACTGTGTGACGGCAGTGCGTTATGTTCCGAGCCGGTCAGACCATATCGGCTTTAAAGAATGAGATCAGATATTGGCTATACAGCTAATTCATGATTTTTTTTTTCCCCTTAATACCAGCAACAGGTAATCTGAAGCATCTGGTCACTGCATCCAATTGTTAAAAGGCAATTTGACAAATTACTCTTTGCCAGCTAATTAATAATCCTATTAATAAAAGCAGGCTTAGAAAATAAAATCGGAGATGCCTGCTGAGATTTTATTTAAAGATAATTATATATAGACTGTATAATTTGCACTGTACTACCAAAAGCATAAAATAAAAAAAGACAACACAATGATTCGTTTGTTTTAATTTGTAATAAATATCCCAAATATAATACACTTCTAATACAGATGAACACATTTGAACAATGTCAAATAAATTACTTTCTTTCAGTATCAAAAAGAAAGTTAAATAGACAAAAAAACAAGTGTGCATAATCAAAATATGATGCAAACATTCATACAATACCAAGGTCAGTATACTGAACTTATTTTTAACAAGTTCAATAAAAAAAGTAGTGCAATGCGCTACTTCACTTTAAGAGTCATGCAAACTCTTATTGTACAGCAACTACTGATATTTTATTCTGCTATAAATGTTGATTTCTAAACAGATAAACAATGTCAATATTTGACAAAAACACACAGGAGGGAGCAAAAATCTGAAACCCCATTGAAAATTTGAATTGAAACCTGATAATAAATATTCAGTTAAACCTTTCACTCCAATTGTTATACTTAATATAATTTGTAATAAAATCAAATTATACACCACCGTTTAAAGATTGGCAAGATTTTTTTTATGTTTTTGAAAAAGTCTCTCAATGCATTTATTGAAAAGAAAATAATATTTATTACCAATTAAAATCACTTTTTTATTTTAATATATTTAAAAAATATATATATTCCTGTGAAGGCAAAGCTGAATGTTCAGCAGTCATTATTGAGGAGTAAAATGCATTCAATAATTTGAATATATCTTGTAACATTATAAATGTCTGTCACTTTTGATCAATGTATTCTTACTGACCCCATAGTTTTGAGTGGTGTATTTTTTTCACTTTTTTTCACTGTATATTATCATCATATATTGCTAAAACACAGTACGTAAGGCTTTTAAAACATTACATTTACATTTATTCATTTAGCTGACGCTTTTATCCAAAGCGACTTACAATTGCTATATATGGCAGAGGTTGCACGCCACTGGAGCAACTAGGGGTTAAGTGTCTTGCTCAGGGACACATCGGTGTCACACCAAAGGCATGTGTCTCATCCACTGCGCCATCGCCACGCCATTAAACACTGAAGTTATTTTTATGATAATTTCAAGATAAATATACTGTCCGTCTATCTTCCTGAGAGTTTCCCTTTTGTTCTTCATTAGCTATCTGAAACCAGGTTCAGCTCAGAATCAACTTTAACTCTTCAATATGTACATTCACTTTGAAAAAAAGAAAACATGTTTGATTGAGTCAAGTATCCACTCCCTTAATCTTTCAATACGCTTAATAGAGATGGATTCATGAAGGCCAATGATGAAAGAAAGACTTACAAAATTTAAAAATAAAATCTATCCGAGGCACATTAAAACAGCACAAACTAGTTCCTCAAGTGCTCCCTTATGTAAACTCCATTTTCATACATTTTATAAAAAGGTTACAAATAAAATGAAGGGATAGACAGATTTCATTACCACAGCGCAGATCTACACTAGACTTATATTATTTGAAGTGACTTGTTTATACGTTTGTAAGACTGGAAAACTGGAAACTGGTCTATGAGAGGAAGAACCTTGCTTTCAAATTAACATTTGAACACCTTTCACACACATACTCCTTCCCTATCATTAAAAAAATCTTTTCATTTTATGGAGTCAGATGAAATGAGTAAATACATAAGATAAAATCTATTGCATTTAATTAAAAATCCCTTTGCCATGGGATGAGAGGGAACATGCGTGAGACCTTCACCTCTAATCGAGTACCCCTACTGGAACGATTTAGCTACGTTTATCGAAACAATACTACATGCTGAATCTGATGGAAGACATCATCTAACCGTGGCTGTTCTGTGGTACGTACACTTTAAAGCCTCTGTCTTTAAGTCTCTTTCTGGGACCCGCTGGTTGTCCTGTGGCTCTGGAAGCTGGTCTGCTCGGGCCAGATAGGAGACTCGTGCTGGAGGGGTGTGCGTCGGGGGTAGAAGGTGTGCTGGAGGTCGTAGTTCAGCAGACAGCTGAGGGACGCCATGTAGATGTCGGCGAAGCGGGAAAGGCGGCGCGAGAAGTAGGTCGGGTTGTGGTACGTGCGAAAAAGACTCCCGAACTTGCCGTTGAAGATGTCTTTGGTCCGTAACCTGTTAACAACAAATTATTTTTAACAATTGGTTATTTTTAAGAATTAGGCATTTCAAGCTCAATTTTGAATAATAAAATGATTATTATTATATATTTAACTAAAACTAAAAACAAAACTATTTAAAAAAAAATGTTAACTGAAATTAAATAAAATCATAAATATAATATTAATAATAGTATTTAATAATTAATATAAAACGTTTATTTTAATTTCAGCTAGTTTCCAATGCAACATTTCTTATTTTCATGTAACTTGATGTACTAAAATAGCTAAAACGAAAAAAAAAAGAAAAAAAAAAAATATATATATATATAAAAGAGATAAGCATGTTTAAAAAAAAAAATAAATTTAATATGAAACCAGATAATATAAGGATAAAAAATAATTGTAAATATGAATGAAATCTATAATAGTTTCTCAATGGTACTAAAATAACACTGGTCGAAGTGTAAAAAAAAAGAAATATACAGATTAATTTGAGATTAGTTACCTCATATCCTCTCTTTCACTGATCCACTGCTGGATCACTGATTGTGACGCAGGGTCCTGGTGCACCTGCCACATAAAGACAACTACAGCTTGAGCAAAACTAGCTCAGTGGAAATGACATCATGCCTTTCATTGGGCATAGAGAATGTTTAACTTGGTCAATATTGGACATTTGCACGCTTATTTACGCTATAGATTACCTTGGCACTCATCTAATGTTAAAACAAAGTTCACTTTTAAAAACATTGTAATAACACCATTTGAATAACACTGTTTAAGAGCATCCCCTTTTGTTTGCTTTAGTGCGCAAAAAGTGGTCTGACCTGCATTTGTTCCAGAAGTCCGGTCAGGGCCTGCAGCCAGGTCATGGTGTGGACGTATTCTTCAGTATTCATGATTTTGATCTCCTTACGCAACTCAGGAATGATAGCTCCTGTTCTCCAACCGTGTTTCAGGGTCAGGTCCTACCCACACCGTGACATAATTTTCATTACAAAATCAAGCACAATCAAAAAAAAAACTTTCAGAAGACCAAGTCATTGTCTGTGATATCTATACAGGGCATGCTGAGACATATTATTAATATTAACAAGACCCTCATTGTAATGAAAACGGCAGAAAAAAAAACATATATATTTCATTCAAAACTAAAAGAATTGATAAAACGGTTCAATGTAATCCATTTTTTGTATCCCTAATATCTTTGTTTTAATGCTTCTCATCAAATCAAAGCACAATTATATGTTTGTGTATATGCTGAAAAGGACAGAATCTGATTCTTACGGCAAGGTCACTGTAAATGTGATCTCCAAAGTACAAAACCTTTGAGCCCCTCCATCCTGTGAGCCGCAAAAACTCATACAGGTTTCCCTGGAAGCAGACAAAGTGAAAAGATCATATTCCACCATCATCACTGAATAGAAACAGCTGGCAGCAGAACACTAGGGCATGAAAGATTACCTGTTTATAGATCTGCCCTTTCTCAAGGTGGTGAATTCTGTCCCATAACAACACACCTTTATCAGTGACTCGTCTGAATGGTCTTCAGAAACCGGGGAAAAAAAGGTCAGAATGACTTTGATTTAGAAGTGATGCAACACTGCCAGACCTGGCCAGAGATTTCTTAGGATTTGTGGAACTTACTTCCTCCTGTCATTGAAAAAGCCTGGCTTGTCGGCCTGCACTATGACAACATCAAACAGGTCCTGCCAGTCTTTCCCAACTATATAGTTCATGCCTCGATCTCTACAATAAGGAAATTGAGATACATTTTATTTGAAAAGAGCTAACAAGCGGTTAGTCACAATGGCTTTGTACAAATTCTTTGTAGTGTGTCTCTCATATGATCCATTTATTTATGCGTATTGATGTTTATTTTTAATTTATTTTCAGTTTAGTAGCTCGGTTGCACTCACACAAAATCAAAAGGGCTGTTGGTTATTAAAAACATCTTCTTGCCATTCTTAGACAGCTTCTGTAAAACAGCATGTGTCTGTTCACCGTAACAGATGTACTTTTCTGCAGAAAAGAAAAAACAAGAATAGCAAAAACCTCTTAAATTGTATCATTTGCATTAATGATTACAAAACAGGTGGGGTCCCCAAAAATGTTATAATTTTGTTAATATATATTTATATATACACAAACATATATTTTCAAATTTTTTACGTTAGATTTTATGTTAGATGATTTTTACACACATTTTTAGAAATGTATGTTTATTACATTACATATTTATCAATCATATTTTTAATGATATATTATTATTATTAAACAATAGATGTGAATAATATGTCATAAGATGCGTATTGCTTATGTCATATTGCTTAAAGCTGCAGTCTACAGTTTTTCCTCTTTGTCGCCATCTCTGTTCGAAATCTGCAATTGCGATCATTCGCGGGATTATCAACTTCAACCACAGCGTGGATGAACACAATGTTTGAGGAGACTGTGAGGCTGTCAGTCGTCATTCAGAATCACAAATTATTATTTATGGAAGTATGACCAACGTAATAATTTTCACTGGAAAATGTAATCTGAACTAGTAAGAAATCTCCCGCGGAAATCCACCAGTACCACTGGAATTAAAAACATTATTACAAGTCTACCGCTTTGAATCAAGCTAAGTCAAGCAGATCGTTTTGAACACTGACTGGTTATGTATTTTCTCAAGTATGTAATTTAGATAATTTTTAGCCGAAAAAAAAAAGCTACGGACTGCAGCTTTAAATTACCGATATCAGCCTCTACAGCTCGATACATAATCCCTCTGACATGGACATCTCCAATGGCCTCCTGGAAATGGAGAAACACACCAGATGCAGAATATCAAAGCAAACCTAACATCAATATTCAGCACTGAAGCAAAGCACAAAGCCCTGACGCACTACCAGACACCTCCTGTGAAAGCTCTCGCTCATTGTATCTGGGGACAGTCATAAATCCTCTGAGACTTGTTAATGCATAATGACGGAGGACTGCACATAAAAGCAATGACGTGCATCTCATATTGATTAAATTGATCTGTAGACCCACTAAAAGACATCCGTCCATCTGTAACACAGCTTCTCTTCGGGCACGTGGCACAGATGGTGTTTCCAAATGCTTCCTCTAAAATTAGACCGTTCCATGCTGCTCTCTACAAACTTAGATACCCCTTTCAGGAGCCATATTTATGACATCTGAGGTGGTCCCGTAAATATGACAGCACTTCGTCTCCTTAGAAACTGATATCGGTGAAGGAAATCTTGATTTTTGAATTGTAAGGCAGGTTTTGAGGGACAACTATACCTTGACGTCTTTATAAAGATGAACAGGCTCGTAGTCGATGTTGTGCCTTAGGAAGTAGTCATTAACACACGACAGCAGAGTCATTTCTGGCAGGGAGAAGATATCCATGAACTGCTTCATGGTGTGACCGTGAGAGCTCTGCACGAGAGATCAGCAGAGCTGTGTTAAAGGAGAACCGTTATGCCCTTTTTCAAAGTCTTGATTTTGTTTTTGGGGTCTACTAGAATAGCGTGACCGCAACTTTAAGATATCAAACAAACCCCTTGACAAGCAAAAGACGGTAAGCACACAGACCTTGCCATAGAAGTCACTCATGATCTCGAGGGGTACGTGGGAACCCTCATACATCGCAATGACCTCCTTTTCTGGCACAGGATTAAGACCCCTACCGAGACATTGACATGACGATGAGCAAACACATCTTGAGATTAATCATTTATAAAATTAGCAAAGTAGTTGCACTCTACCTGTACACAGTACCCAGCTGGATATAATGAAAGGCATCAATCTTCATCAGTAAGGCCTAGAATATGGATGAGATTGACAAGTTATGCATTGAAAACTCAAGAAAATTCTAGATCAGGACTGAAAACATACCTTTTGGACATCATAGTGCAGACCACGAATCACAAAATTACGGATGTAATCATATTCCCTCAATCCCTCTGGATACTTTTATGTGGACAGAAAAAGACAAAATATTGTTTCCGAAGGCATTCATTTGTTAAACCTAATGAAAATCTTTTTTGAAGTGTGTAATTTCTGTGTCACTAGCATCATCACCACATGGAAAATATGGACTGATTTCATAATTATTATAAATTACATTATTTAACATAACAGAATGTGTTTGTGTATATAGGCCTAGATATATTTAATGTAATTTAATGTATAAAGTCTTGAGTCACCCTGTGCTCTTCGATGAGGATGTCTCGGGCGATGTTGAAAATGAGTGTGTGAAGGTGACTGGAGTAGAAAGCTAGTGTGTAGTCATAGTCAAAGCCATAGATCTCAATGTCCTGCAGACTCATCTGATTATTGGCAAATATGGTGTCTGGGTTGACAAAGTTACTTGATATCACAGGAATTAAATCTGTGGAAAAAAACAACACAGTTGTGTGTTAATAAATAATTGACCCTTTAAGATCACAGTTTTATTATGCTTGCTTAACAGCATATAATAAAAAGAATACATTCAAAAGGAACTCAAATGAATAATGATTAACCTGCTGTGAGACATTCATTATGAAAAGAAATTATTTGCATGTTAATATGATCTTGGATGGTTTTCATGTAAAAACAAAACAAAAATCAAGTCATAGCTGAAGAAAAGTGGATTCAAAATATTAATGAATTAAATACTATAGTAGCATATACATAAAACAACTCTCTCTCTCTAAATACACACACACACACACTTATATATGTGGTTTGCAAGCACATAAACGCATGCATTTTATAGTAATATAACATCTCCAATCATACAGAGACCAACCCATTTCGCATATCACTGTAATAAATAACTAAACTTCAACAATCTATAATATAATATAGTAAAATATGACATGATGACACTGGGATAGAGTTTTAAAAAAAAAAAGATTTTATTTATGCATCGCTCATATACAACATCCAAACAGCCTCTGACAGATCTTAAGTCGAGGAAACAGGCATTTCAATAACATACTAACAAACCTTGCGTTCGCTGTTTGGTTTCATTGTAAACAGACCAGAGCCAGCTGGTCTTGTCGTCACTGGAGCTGGTGCACATGTTCCCTGCTGTCAGTTGTCTCAGGGGACCCTGCCTCCGCGACACGAGAACACATTTCGGTCCCCAGGAGCGTCTGGTCCATAGACTGCTGCTGTTTACCGACCATGTCCCGCTTCTAGTGTGTAGATACTTAAAGCGCGTGACCAGTCTCTTAAAACTATCTTTATTTTTGAGCAGGTTTGAAAGAGGCAAGGACAAGGTCGGCATGTTTCCCCCGCACCAGAGCAGCCTTCTGGATGATAGTGTCAGGCAGTGTGTTCAACTGTACATGCTCAATTATACACATGTATACTTCCGTTTGCACGGCGGCTACAGGCTACTTTCCATAATAAAAGTCTTATCTACTTCAAAAAAAAAAAAGAAACAAAAAAGATAAATAAATAAATAAATATTAGGACGAAAACGGTTGACATTTTTTCAGAGAAAAATCTTAATTTTACTGAGACAGTTTAATTTCCAGATATTGAATTAAGTTTTTCCAAATAAAACCATGAAGATCTGAAATGGTTGCCAAAACTCTAAAAAAAAAAAATAAATAAATAAAAAACTACAGACATTGACAAATGGAGACAGTACACATATAAATAACTTTATTCACAGAATAAAATAACTTTAGCATCATTTCACTTAGGCTTTGAAAAAAAGATGTTATGTTTTATAAACAGTCACTATGAAAAACAAATCAATGGGTCATTGTTTCTCAGACACAGAGTCTGTCTCTCTTTCTTTCAAGCCAAGAAGTTCCGTTTGCAATTCTCCAGGCTTTGGTGGGACATCTGGAATGGTCTACGATTTAGGAAGGAGGAAAAAAACATTGTTTATGCTGTACATACAGTCAACATGAATTTAAAATGAATCTATTTATTTTTAGAATTCACATTGTTGAACTTAATTAGAACATGAATTGACGCATGTAATTCCTAAAAAATAAAATAGACAGTCGAGTAAAACCCCTACAGAAAATATGTAAAATTACAGAAAAAAAAATTGGTTACGATAACAGTTACAGACAAGCATCAAGTTTGGACAAACACCTAAACAAATTAAAAACCACAAAACCGTATCTGGAAACTTACTAAATCAGGACGGTAATACTGATGCACAACCTGTGCTCCAGCAAACATTGATAACACACTGGCTGCAAACATCCTTAGATATCTTGGCCAAGATACACCTGCTGGCATCCTTAAATCTCAGCTGGCTGACAAGTGTTACGCCAATTAAGGGAATGTATTCCTAAAGAAAGAAAAATAAGATTATAATTGCACCACTAACAGTGTTGAAGGAAAATGTGGGTTATGTTAACCCATTACTAATATTTTAAATAATATAATGTCTATTTTAAATAATAACAATAATACACGTTTAGATCTAAAACAAAATTATCAACACTAATAACAATAAGCCATTATTATTTTCCTAGGTTTACCTAACAGCTAACGAGTCTAAAACACAGTTTCATATGTCAATCTACGATTATTCCGGAGCAACTTACAAAAATAAATAATGTACACACGCATTTCAAGTGAGTGTGAGTATTTTATCAGTCAATTTAATAACGTCATCGGTTTTTGCTATAAGGTCATTTAATCACTGCTAGCTAGGCCTATCTCAAGCGAAGCAACAAATGAAGTGTGCAATTGAATGACAACAGGATTATATTTCCTACATTAGGCCGGATCAAATCTGCAGAACGATATACTAACCTTGTTAAATTATAGTCGAAATAACATGTTTTCGTAACTCGATATTCAGCAGTAAAGGTTCTTGTTACATGTCTCACATGGTCGCTTTGGAAGTAATGTAAGTCACGTTTATCATAGGGTGTGCTGAAATTAATTATTTTCTCTATTTTCCCTAAGTAATTGATGAAAATTTGTTAAAATGGTAAAATACTTTATTCTACACTTATTTCAACTGTAGTAACTTCATGTATGCCATAAGATGCGTTTTATATAGAAAAGTATGAAGAGAAAAATACCACTTCCTCATTGTAAATAATGGTAGAGTCCAACAATGTGAAGCCAACCATTAGAAAATTAATGTTTTATTGTATAAAAGTGTGGATGTAAGTTCGACCCAGCACGCATGCTTTTTTTTTTGTCTTAATGTTTTAAAACGACAAATTTTAAATCGTCGTCTATAATAACTAAAGACAATTTTTAAAGCTTTAAGTTCAAAAATATGTAATTGGAGCATGAACAAGGACTTTTATTTTGAATCCAGCCTTTACCTTTGTTGACATTTTTACCTACACCGGCTTCATTCATCATGTGTAGCATCATTTAGCTCATATTTTTCTGCATTAAATATTGATATGTGCCAGAAAAGGTCTGGAGAATATATATGGCAGGTAAGATTCATAACCCAAACGCACAGAAATATGTCTGTATGTAACGAAACGAGTTATTTTATGCTCGTATGCGTCCACACACAGCTCTTAACCTATTGAATGCAATGAGCTAGTTAGCTGCATCCTAAAGTGTTGCCCATAACATGAGGCTAATTAGTCTTTAAAATGTGTACATTTCTAGTTTATGTGTATTTTATTTGATCTTGGGACGTTTAATTTATAAGCAAAGTCTAATAAAACGGGACTGATGTAACAAAAGATCAAACAAAGGGAGGTGTGGTTTACCAGCTGGCACATTAGTAACATAAACATGAATATTAATCTATTAAAGTAAGACCACCAATTAAGATGGAAGAAAGGCAGTATTCATCTCTGACGGCCCCTATGGATTATCTTCAGTATTGGTAAGTTTGCCCACCCCAAAAAAACCCAAAAGAGTTCATAAATCTTTGAAATAAACTAGTGATTTAATGTGATAATGTGAGTAATATTAACATCTCGACAAATGCTCTCTAAATGGGATATGATGGTGTATGTTAAATTTGAAAGCACTGACAAGGAAAATGTCAGATTAGTCCTAAGTGTATCAAGTAAGTGCAGTGTTTCTATCTTTGTAATTTTGTTTTCTCAGGTATCAAACCAATCCCCAGCAGTACCAACCGGAGCAGGTGCCACAGTACCACCAGCTGGTTAATGCTTCACAGTATGGCGAGAGACCCATGGAAGACAAAATCATGACTGATTTAGCAGTGCATCAAGATCCATATCTGGATCAACCTCATCAGCCTCACCAAGATCCATATCTGGATCAACCTCATCAAGATCCATATCTGGATCAACCTCATCAAGATTCGTATCTGGATCAACCTCAACATCATCATCATCATCAACCCTCTGTCCAACAACCAGGTACAGCCTTTTCCTCACAGCTGGGATATTTCTGCAGCCCATTTATCAAATCAAATATTATCAATTATCTGTTTTGCAGCCCCTCCGGCATTGACAGCTAAAGGAAAGAAAAGGGGAAGGCCTCTAAAAGGTGAAGGAAAGGAAAGGACAGAAGCCGAGGAGTCTGCCAAGAAAGCAAAGAGGACGTTAGATCGGTTCAACGGCATGTCAGTGGAGGAAGTCATGTCTAGAAAGCTACCAGATGTCATCACACATAATCTTGACTTGCTGATTGTGAGTTATTGTTTTATATAGACTGCAAGTTTGATCTGTATTTTATTTATTCATTCTATGAATGTAATCATTTAACATTGTTTATATACACACACACACACACACATTCACCAGCCAGTTTAGATGCACTTTGCTAGTACCAGTTTGGACCCACTTTTGCCTTCAGAACTGCTGTAATTCTATGTGGCATAGATTCAAATAGTTACTGAAAACATTCCTCAGAGATTTGTCATATTGACATGATAGCATCATGCAGTCACTGCAGATCCATGATGCGAATCTACCGCTTCACCAGAAGAAAATGGAGCAGGTTGTCTGGAACATATCTTCATGCTCAGTTGCTGCCATGTTATTTGCTGATTTAGATATTTTCATTAACAAGCTGTTGAACAGGTGTACTTAATTAAGTGGCCAGTAAGTGTGTGTGTGTGTGTGTGTATGTATATATATATATATATATATATATATATATACTGTATATATATACTGTATATATATATATATATATATATATATATACTGTATATATATATATATAATTCTGGTTTAAATTATTGTATGACTTTTTTTTTGCTAATTTTATAGATCGGCATCAATCCTGGACTGTTGTCAGCCTTCAAGGGAAGACATTATCCAAATCCTGGGAACCATTTTTGTATGTATAATTCAGCTGATTGCAATCGTTGTTAAAGGTTGTTTATATATTTATACTTGAATGTCTTATAGGGAAGTGCTTGTTTCTCTCCGGGCTGACTGAAGAACAGCTGAACCACATGCACGATCAGACACTACCTGAACGCTATGGCATTGGTTTCACCAATATGGTGGAGAGGACCACACCTGGGAGTAAAGACCTATCAAAGTAAGAGTTTAGCATTATCTGGGAACAAAGGTGCGTTGTACTGCAAGTTTTCACAGAGGAAATCCAGTAATTTAAATTGGAATACAAGCGATTGGAAATTTCCGGTCTTATGAATTAGCCGCCTTGACGTTTGCTGAGCTTCATACATTTATATACCACTGACAGTTTTGCTGACATTTCACAACTACAACTGCACCTTAAAATGTGTTCTTGCCCTAATTTGATGTTAAGTCCTTAGAAAATTCGTTTTGAAAAATTTCGTTGTATTGCAGCAAAGAGATCCGTGAAGGTGGCCACCAGCTTTTGGAAAAACTCCAGAAATACAGACCTTTAATCGCTGTGTTCAATGGGAAATGTAAGTCTTCGATTTGGTTTTGAGTTAAGTCTAAACTGTCATTTATTCCCCCGGTTTCACAGACAAGGTTCAAGACTAGTCTCAGACTAAAATGCATGTTTGGGTGGTTTTAAATGAAACTGACATATCTTAAAACATGTCAGTGCCATTGCTTTGTCTCAGTAATGTGTCTAAGGCACGTTTATAAAAGCTACTCAAATGTCCTAATTTAATTAAGGCCTAATCCTGGCTTAATCTAAACCCTGTCTGTGAAACCAGGCTATTGTGTAATTTAATCCTTTATTTCAGGTATTTATGAAACATTTTGCAAGGAGATATTTGGAGTGAAAGCCAAGAACTTAGAGTTCGGATTGCAGCCCTACAAAGTGCCCGAAACGGAGACGGTACGAGTTTCTTTCTTGATAGTGCTGTTTAAAGTTGCACATTGATTAGAAATGAGGTTCTGTTGTCCAGGTTTGCTATCTGATGCCATCGTCAAGCCCACGCTGTGCCCAGTTTCCTCGTGCTCAGGACAAAGTGCACTTCTACATCAAGCTAAAAGATCTCAGGGATCAGCTGAAGGGAGAGGTGAAGACTCAGGAGATCCAAGAGACAAACTACACATTTGATGTGGCTCTGGCCAAAGGTGAAGAGATTCACAATTTAAAGTCGCCATGAAACGGAAGTTGCTTTAGCTTTTTTCTTCCCTATTGTGATGTACAGTATATCCGAGTTAAACGGCTTCTCGAGCAAGAAAAAATATAGGGCGGGACTTGTTTTTTTCCATTTGGAATTGTTTGGATGGTTGTGGTTTGCTATTGGTCGACCTCATGTGAGTGACAGGTTGACACTCTCGCTCCAGTAAACATGTCGTCATTGAAGAGAAAAGGGAAGGTGAAGTTATTTTGAATAAAGATTACAAGGGTTACATGAATTTTAAAAACACATTATTTGCACAATAGATAATCCATGGTGACTTTAAAATAGTTTTCTATTAATGTGCTGTTTGAAAACATGTTGTTAACCAAAGACTTTTGTTATTGTTTATTCTAGAGGATGCCAAAAGATTGGCAATTAAAGAAGAGCAGCATGACCCTGAGTACGAGAAGACCTGTGCACATGGATCATGGGGGGAACCACAGCAAGCGTTTGGAGCCCATCCGTCTACAGATACAGGCACATACATATTGTGTTCGGAAAGAAAATGAACAATTTTATGTGTCAGGTGCTCGTAATAATTGTCAACATTCTCTAGACCAGGTAACGGACAACCGGTGGACAATGCAGCCGTTTGCAGACCAGATTCCAGACATCAGATGTAGCAACAGCCGAACAACCTGAGAAAAGTAGTTATGGCACAAAGACTGTTTGTCTACACTGCATGTACTGAGAAGGACCAACTAAACATTTTTTTTTATTCTTTTATTTAATATTTCAATATGTTTTGGCTGTGTTCCTGAGTGATGATGTTAAGTTGTTACCTGGAATATTTAATGTATATGATTTCTCTGTGTTTGTGTGCGCGCGTGTTGCTTGGATGAATGTGAGACTTTCTGTTTGAGACATTTTTCTAATTTTTTGCCACTATGTTTTTTAATTACTTTTTTTTAAGGAAACTTTAATCATACACGACTGTCCAAAAGTTTGTGGTTAGTAAGATTTTATTTTTTTAAGAAATTAATACTTTAAAAAAAAAGTGACAGTAAAGACGTATAATGTTACAAAATATTTCAATTTCAAATGAACATTTTTTCAACTTTCTATTCATCAAAGAATCCTGACAAATGTCAATGATCTTGACCACCAAATCAGCATATTAGAATGATTTCTGAATTATTTCAAATTAAGCCTGCCATCAAAGGAAAAATTACATTTAAAAAAAAAAAAGAATTGTAGTAATACTTCACACTATTACAGTTTTTCTGTATTTTTGATTATTTAAATGCAGCCTTGGTGAGCAGAAGAGACTTCTTTCAAAAAATCTTACCAACCCCAAACCTTTGAATGGTAATGTATGTTGACTGTTTGTTTATATAGTTTCATATTTACTAAATTTATACATTTCTGTGGTATTAGGATTATTCTGAGAAGACCCCTAATATTTGACATGCACATGTTTTTTTTTTCTTTTTTTTTTTTTTTTTTTTTCATTAGGAGTATTTCAGTGTAGCAAATTGCAAACCATGACTGGCCTCTGGAAGAGGTTTATCACTGTGCATGCCTTCAATGCATGGATTTATATGGCATGCTCAATCCCACATTATGGTGCTTATTGAATACCGATCACCCAATTTACCTCATTTTTGAATGGTATTTTTAGACTTTTTAGAATTGTTTTGTTATTTTGCAGTCAGTGGACATAACTGTTTATTATTATACCTGTTTTGTTGCATAATAATATTCCAGCTTTATTGTTCCTGTGAGAATTCTGTAACACGTATGTTATTCTGTAAGTTGTATTTTATTTTTTATATGTATGTATTACTAAAGGAACTGTTTTAGGGCAAATAAAAGCAGATATGAAAAGCAATGTGTATTAATTATTACAATTAAAATATTAATATTAAATATTTATTTTATTAACAGCAATAACAGTATATGTATACGAAATTATTACTTAGGAATTTGTTATTTATGTAAGCGCAGCCAATAGGAAGCTCGCTTTGAAGCGTTTAAATGTCACAAGGGACCGGGGTTATACTATTAACTTTAGAAGGGTAGGGTTTTTCAATGCCGTACTAATATTCAAAGAAAAAGAAAAGCCTGGAATACGTTTTCAGTTTTTACATTTAGAATAAGTACATTTAATATAAAATTATGATTCCTTTATATTTCTTTTTAAATTAAAGGGAAGAAATAGACATGCTGTGCCCATTACACCCCCAGCCCTAATGTTTTGGTTCGCTCCACTGTCAAATTGATTTCTAGCTGTTGGTCTCGTCTTTGTTGCTTTTACCGGTTTTGTTACTAAAACGAGAAAAATCAACATTTCAGTGGACTATTGTTCGAATCATATCATAACGGTATGTATTAATTTGACAAATAAGAGCTTAATTTGACTAATAACACTATGGAAATGCCATTTATATCGATAGAAACGCGCTGCACAGTAAGCTAGCGACCATCATTCATTGTACTCAATGAATTGGCACACTAGGCCAGCGTTAGCCGATCATGCTAACAGTATCTCATATATTGGTTTTCTTAACGAAAAATAAAGTATCTTTTTCCGTTTACCTGCTGGAACAATATGTGGTCGCTAAATTAATTTAAGTTCGCAATGTACCGCAGTTTAAAGTAAAGTAAACGACTGCCTGCTGTGGCAAAATAGTGGTTCGAGATGTGCTGGTGATTACGTGGAGTGTTTAAAATCCAGCACACCGAACCTTTTCTGATCTGGTTTATACACTTAAGCCAACCTAGACTGGATATGTTTTGAAATTCATTTAGGAATGCATTTTAGAGTTGTATATATAAGTGAACGTAATAATTATTAAAGTGATCTATAAGTGAGCCTATAAAAAGGGCAGGTTATAACTACATATTCTCCTGTGAGAGTACCACTGAAATTGCTGTTGATATGAACACACATATTGATTTATTTAAGTAAATCCCGTAGAGATGGATGAAAGGCTCTATGGATCTTTGCCCCATGCCCCCTCGGAATACCTCCAACAATGGTGAGTGTCCCCCATTTGTCATCAATTGGCGCCAAGATTAATTAAGATCCCACTGATTTTATGTTATAATAACATTCAGCACTTCAGTCTGGTTGTGAATGCTACTAACGGCAATGCACGAGTCAACAATAACAACAATTATTGAAAACCTGCCTTGGCGTTGCCACTTGTGTTTGCTTCTGCAATTATTAACATGTTTATTTGCAGATCCGGGTTGCCTTAATCTAATTTATGCTTTTCTCAAATTATACACTTAGTACCTCTTTATAGATATTGCTCCTATTTGCATTTGAGATATTTTCTTATCGTTGTTTGACTGATGTGTGTCTGATAACTCTAAAATAGAAGTAGTAGTACTTCTATCAAGTAATTAAACCATTTTTAATGGTTATTTTAATTGGGAACTTTTTGTATTTTTGTAAAAAAAAAAAAAAAATGTTATTGCACCCAACTTTAAATTAAAGCGGGTGCAGATGTAATTTTATGTTTTTGGTTTGGTTCAGTTCTGATGGCTTGACACATAAAAGTGTGTTTTTTTGTTATTCTATGCTTAGGCAATATAAACAGTAAGGTTAAGGAGAAAAAAAAGTCCTCATCTCAGCTCGTAGACTTACAGTCACTGGCACACACAAACAGTCAGTTCGGAGAGAAATAAAATGCACATAAATTATTTAAACGTAAAAAACAAACAAAAAAAAAACGTGGATGTCATAACGGTTCAAAATTAAATGGAGAATTGTGGCATCCCTAGCTGATACAACCTTTAACAGCATGTCAGTTTAACAGCATTTTTTTTGTATAAGTTGGACTGACAACTTCGGACCCTATTTTTATTTTTGAAATAGGGTTCAGTCAGCTCAGCAGCATCTGCAGGCCCTTCAGGCTCAGTATCCTCACATGGCTAATGGCAATGCTGGCTTTATGATGGAGGGACCCAGAGAGGACGGGGTCATGCAGCAGATGCCTGTACACCCAGAGGATGCTGCCCTACAGGCTGCTGCTGCACAGAAAGGTAGTTTTCCAGTGCCGTGTATTTTCAAACAGTAGAAATGAGCTCTGCAAACTGAATGCGAACACTCGTATAGCTTTAAGTAAATCAAATGTTTTTTTTTTTCCCCTTTAAGCACCTGCTAAAGGAAAGCGAGGAAGGCCGGCAAGCAAAGAACCCAAACCCAAAGGTGAACCCAAACCCAAAGGTGAACCTAAAGTCAAAGCCAAACCCGGACCCAAACCCAAGAAAGCTAAGGAGGATAAGGAGGCCCCGCCTGCTGAAGGACAGGAGAAGATTGATGAAACCTTCAAGAAAGTTAAAAGGAAAGTTGATCGTTTCAAGGGCATGTCGGAGGAAGAAGTCATGAAGAGGACACTGCCTGACATCCTTGTCCCCAATCTGGACTATGTCATTGTAAGTCTAAAATATGATGAAGAATGTTAAAACCAAAATGGAATTGAAGCCAAATGACTGAAATTAATATATATATTTTAAATACAGATCGGAATTAATCCAGGGTTGATGGCGGCCTACATTGGAAAATGGTTCCCTGGACCAGGAAACCATTTTTGTAAGTAGGATTTAATTCTACTCCCCTTTAACATTTTAGATGATTAAGTTATTTCATTTGTATTATTTCTAATATAAATATTCATATATTATTACTATTATAATACCAAAATATATCAAAAGAGATCAATAGGTAAGATAAGACAATACAAATACAAAATAATACAAATAAAATGTTTTATTATAATATAAATAATTTACATCAATAATATTATAAACCGTAATATACCAATTCACTGTTTCATACTAATATTTTACAATATCATACAATTTTGTCAACCCCTCCTAGTCATCTTCAACTGATCTTCAAACTATTATTATATTTATATTATTTTAAGGATATAACAATGTAAGTATTATTATTTTCATTATTTAATATGATTTATTAGTTGTATTAATAACGATGGTTAATATTATAACATTTTAAAAAGTGGTTGTTTACAAACATAAAAAAAGAGGTATTTTATATTGTTCGGGTTAATTGATTATAATATAATTATACAGCAATATTGTTATTTAAAGCATGTAAATAGTTGTTATAATCAATAAGATATTTTTTTTCTATATTAATTTTTTTTTTTTTAATAAATTGTTAAAAAAAAAATCTAATTTTTTCAATCTTTAAGGGAAGTGCCTGTTTCTGTCTGGATTCACTGACAAGCTGCTAAATCACATGGATGATCAGAGTTTGCCTGAGAAGTACGGCATCGGCTTCACAAATATGGTAGAGAGAGCAACACCAGGAAGCAAAGATCTCTCCAGGTGCGGGATATAATCACGCTGCTTTCATTCACGACTGAAAGCGATGACGTTCTTCTAACCTGTTTTGCTTGTCATCCGTCTGCAGCAAGGAACTTAGAGAAGGTGGAAAAATCTTAGTGGAAAAACTAAAAAAATTCAAGCCACTCATAGCGGTTTTTAACGGGAAATGTAAGTTTTTCACCACAGATACAGAACGTGAAGAATACACCTGTCACAAAGACGTGCATTTAACAATTACTTTTAAATGTTTCAGGTATTTATGAAATGTTCTGTAGGGAGATATTTGGGAAAAAGCCCAAAACACTACAGTTTGGCCTACAGCCTAACAAAATTCCTGATTGTGAGACGGTAAGAAACCCTTTTTTGGTTCATTGCATGATAAAAACAAAACTTGAGTTATATGCTGCATACTACTGTTTTTCCGTAGGCGTTGTACCTAATGCCGTCCTCCAGCGCCCGCTGTGCTCAGTTTCCTCGTGCTCAGGACAAAGTGCATTTTTACATCAAGCTCCGAGAGCTCCGAGATGAGCTGAAGGGTGTGATCAAGAGCAAAGAGGTCGAGGAAGTCAAATATACCTTTGACCTCGGCCTGGCCAAAGGTACATACAGAACTTTAAAGATTGCTCTTCTTTTCTTAATCATATTATAAGTGATGTACATACAATTATGGACTGTGTTTGACCACTTCCCGCTCTCTTGCAGAGGACGCCAAGAGGATTGCCGTCAAGGAAGAGCAGTACGATCCTGGTTATGAGGCTGCTTTCGGAGGAGCTTACGGAGAATCAGCACCTGAAGGGGGCCAAAGCAATGGATTGTGTAACTTCTCCACATCGGAGGAGACAGGTTGGTATCATCTTTCTTCTGTGGGAAAACAAAAGAAGCCATTTTTGAACCATTTTTGCCTTTTATTCGGACATGCATCTTTTGTCACATACTGTTTTTCGCCTCATATTCATACTTTGCACGTGACATCACAAGTACTGGCTGGCGGGCAAGAAAGCCACTCTCCAGCGACGAAACCCAGTAAATTAGTCAAGGATCTTGCCAGGACGTTGCCAGTTTTTATACAAAAGTTGGTGTTTCGAGGTGTAAATAACACGCCAGATAATAGATATAACCAGAGGAGATAAGCAACCTTCACAGTATAACGTTACACATCTGTGCAGTGATCATTCCATCACTCAAGGTCATTTCAACATTTGTTTGAATACAATAAGTGTATGATCATGTAATTAATCGTGTCTTTAAGTTAACCCGTAGTTTTGTCAATGAACGCCAAAATTCACTGAAAAATGAATGACTTCTAGGCACTTTGACGGTCTCGCTGGTGGCGGTGTAAACGCAGCTATCGTATTTTGCTAACAACAACAAAAGTGTGTGATAGGTTGTTTTGAGGTTTGTGATGTCTATGGTTTTGAGAACAGTAGAGCTAGATTATTTACGGAGGAATTATTTCTGCTCGATTATCTAAAAAAAACCCTTGTCTGCTTTACACAATTTAACTACCTTCACCTTGGAGTTAATTCTAGTCTATAGTTATGCAGCTAGCTCGCTAACAGACTTGATGGCTTCTAGAAAGAGCTGGAACTACAGGACACTATGTTGTAAATACCCGTTTGTTGCCCGCCAGGCATCCATGGTAGTCACGTGACTGTAGAGTATGAATATAGTAGGAAATAGACCATTATTTCCTTTTCGTTTGCCATTTCGGATGCAGGCTCTGTCTAGTGTGAACGTGAGCGTCCGGGTGCATTTGTTTTTTGTCATGGCGCACCACAACTGTTTTGAGGCTGTCTACTCTGGACATGTCAAAATAAAGAATATAAACAGGAACTTTTGTCTTTCTGAACGGGTGCATGATGATGCTATATGTTATTGAAGTGTTCATTGTAACGCATGGCATCACCAGTGCCCCGTTCACTTTTTGTTCATGACCTCTAATGGTCTAATTACAGTGAATTTTAGCTTGCACTCCTTTACCCAAACTATAATCACTGGCTTCCGCAATGGGCGTACACACGTTCACAAGAGTCTAATTTCGGCGGAAGGGTGACCTTTGACCTGACCGACCTGACATAGGACGTAGCTTCTCTTCTCTAGTATCGGACTTAGCCTATATATAGCCTTCTAATTTGTGACCAGCTTTTTGTTTTGTTCTATCCTCAGCACATTATAGTTTTAAAAGTTTAAAATTTGGATATTTTACTTACAAAACTCCATTGCGTCTGCCACATCCCCATTCTACCTCAGATTCCGTAAAATTGCGTCAGCTATGCTTTTTAAATCCGGAAGAATGAAATTGTTCTGATAAACGCAAAAATAACCAATATCCACTTATTGACCAAATTGAGTGCTTTTAGCGTTTTCAGATAAATGTGTTTTGGGGTTTCATTACCCTTTAAGAGAATGTATTTTAACTAAGAAAATCATGCTTGATTCACCTTTACTATGGATATCTGTTCAAACCTCCAGCCAACACAGCCGAGAAGGCCCCGACGAATCCAAACGCCGCTAGCCAAGTGCAGGACGGTCAGTGGATGACGCAGTCTTTCGCCGATCAGATCCCTGACATCGGCAGCTCCTCTCAAGCCCAAACCTGGGGTGTATGAGGACAGACAGGGCGAGGGACTTCAGACGAAGCCTGTCGGAGGAGTTCCTGTGTTCTTCCAGAGATGCTGTGCCTCCTATCTTCTCAGAATCGAGCACAGGAGTCTTAAAGTGCGCTGGTGTCTTTCTCCTGTGACGACTGTTACAGTATAATTTCAGGAACTATTTGAGGAATCACAGTATCATACAAGGTGGCCCAACTTGCACAAGGAGAATCCAATGGCTGCTACGCTTTTAAAGAAACTGTACCTCTGAACTTCAATTGGGGGCCTTTGGGATCTCGAATGCCTCTTTAGTAAAGAAGAGAACTGTTTTTGCAATGAATTTCAATTAGACCTTTTAGGAATTAGCATTTCTATGGAATTGGAATATTTACTCATCTTTTACATTTAATGGTTTAGAATCATTGATGTTACTTTCAGTAGTGTAGTGTACGAGGTTCTGAGCACTGGTTTATTGCATTATGTGATATCAGGGACTGATACTTGATTTGTTCATAAGGAGCATTCACTATTCTTATTTGATATTTTAGATGGGACTTATTGTTGTCTGTTTCTGTAGTAATATTTTAAGTTTTAACTACCCATTTTTTTAAAGTGTAAAGTTTATAGATCATACTGCCAAATCTATAAGGATAACATTTAAACAATGTTTTGTTTCTATCATCACGTGACAAATTAGGTCTTTTTACATGTTGCCGGATGCAACCATGATGGTTTTAAGACCTTGAAGATGTGATTGAAGATTGTAAATGTCTTTAAATGTTTTCCTAATGAGGAAGCTTCAACATCACTGTTTTAAAATGCACAGTCACCTCTCCGCCTTCAATACTGTCAAATAGAATACAGTGTGACCATTTATACAAATGAAGATGGCTGAACTAATCTTGAGCATGCTATAATTTATGTAATTAATCACATGCTCTTATTGGTGCTATTTTTGACTCCTGTAAACATCGTTATCTTTTTTTTTTCATTAAAATACAATTATCCTGATTTTTACTTGTGCACGTTTATTTATCGAATATTAGTATTCAGTTAGTATTATATACAATATATTAGTGAGAACTGAGAAGAGCTAGCAAACTGGTAGAAAAAGTCTATCAACATTGTAAATGATCTATATGGAAGTAAAATAATGTTTTTGAAACAAAAAGCATGTTGAATTGTACCAATTGAAAAAAAATGCATTGCGTCAACCAGGCTAGCATTTTAATCCATTGTATTTTCAAGGCTTGCATTTTTATGGGCTGAAATTCGACATGGTTGAATATTTAAGCTGTGAATATTTCATTTAAAAACGTTTCAAACACATTTTCATGATTAAAAATTCAATAATCCATATTCATCTTTCATATTTCACTTCCAAAATGTTCAAACTGTTTAAAAATACAACCTCTAATATTCAACAGGCAATTTTTGGTCCACTTTATTTCGCCACAAATTCAGTGGTTCAAATTCGACAGTAAATTCAACGGTGACGTCCAGGAACTGCAGGAAAAGCAATAGATTACCGAGCATAGTCTCCAGCTGCTGTTATTAATTAGTCTGCTTTACCAGCTGCGGTGCACGCGCGTGTTGAACCAAAACAACAGGAGAGGCCTTCACAAAACTGCTGAAATGGACAGAGTGATGAGTACGAGTTATAATTTATATGTGTGTGGAAAAGGTTGATTAAGACACAAAACACACTAGCCTTTAACTGTTAAGTGTTTTATAAGACTTATTTTACCCCTGTGCAAAGTAAGGTGGTTTGTCCACTGCAAAACTAAATTCTCTGGCCGTTGGCATTGATAGTAAAACAACTGTAAAAACAGTAAACTATGAAAGCATGTAAACATATTTGACCATACAGAATTCACCAAAAGAAAGATTTTTTTTTTTTACTTCTCTATATATTGCATTAAAGTTGTGAATATGTTTCAATATAGTTACTTGGCACTAGCCATACTGCAAAGAAATAAGAACAATTTGTTGCTTTAACATTTAACAACACATAACGTAATTTATATTACAATGAATAAACTGCTTTTGTGTGGAAAATCCTCGTTGCATAACGTCAACGTTTGCCTTATATTCATTTTAGTGTGAGTCACATTTGGGATTTTATACTATAAAACAGTAGCTGTTTAAAAAAATGGTAAAGATTGTGTGACAGCAACGATTCATTTTACGTAGGTATTACATATTCACTTCGGCTCAATTCTGAAAAGTGTAATCACTGAGCATAATACGTTAGAAATACGTTTTAGAAATGTGTTAAATGTATAGAGTTTGAACCTACAGTAATTTGCCATTTCAGTTTGGGTAAAGAGGTGCAATGTGCTGAAATGTGTGCGTTTGTTTGTTAACCCCCTGAAATCAATAACCACAAACCAGTTTTACAGATACGGTTTTCGAATGATAAAATGTTGTATAAATTTAACATTTTGACGTTTTGCTTTTCTGATTTGTTTTTCTTCTTTCAGTTGTTCGGACTGGTGAGCATCCTCCTGGGCTGGAAACCATTGGCTGAAGACTGAGTTTTATGTGCTTGTAAGTGTGTTTGACCTTTTTTCTCAGAATGAAGTTTGATCATGATGATCTCTGCTGTATTTTGCCTCACTGTGCTTGTTTATTTGATTTCTTTTATTTCCCAGACCCAGATGCACATCATCAGGCAGGCTTTTCTGGGTAAATCGTTATAGAGAACAAATGACCGTGTCCCCACTAGATGGCCTTGTCCTTCTACAAACCAAAGCTGTTCACTTAAACTGATTGGAAGGACATGGGCCAACCTCCTGAAATCACTATTAATCCTCTTAGAGACAACAAAACTCTTACTCGCCCAATCCGCTGCGTCTTTCCAATGTGCCCACCCTTTTCTCCTCTCTCCATTTCCCCTCCCCACGCTTATGAACCCACTGTGTGGAGAGATTGTAATCCAAGTGGATTACACTGTAAATTGGGTGATGGAGGATTGCATGCTCTGGAAGTGAATCTCAACTGCAGCAGTGTGCTTGCCTTTCGTCTGATTCATATATTATAACTGGGATTATTTTGTGTCAGGAACCATGGAACTTTGGAGAACACCTTTCAGATGTGGCGCTTTGCTGATGACATGATGGCGAGAATCTTAAAATATTGATATCATGTTTGCCTGCTTTTAACAAGAAGGAAAAAGGACTTAATGGTAGCATTAAGTGGATTATTTGGATTATCGGTATCATCCCGAATATGAGAAACAATGATTACTCAAAGCACCCCAATGGAAGTTTCTGGAAGATCTGAGCATGATTAGAAGTCTTCTGGTGTGGAACTCAAGGCCCTCCAAGAACTTTTGGATGTGCAAATTCAGTTGATGAGGAGCTCGTAAGAGATGTTTGAAACCATTTAGGCCAACATGAATGGAAGTGGGTGGAATGGAAGTTGGGTTTTAGTCGCCTTACTTAAGTAGTGGATTCTTTGAAACGTCTTCTCATGACTTCACCATACAGATGTGGCTTTTAAGCATAGATGTCATCATGTGTCACATCAGAAGGTCTTCCTGGGTCACATTCCTCATGGTCTACACAGGCTGGCTGTGTATTTTTACACACGCTCAAATGAAGATTCCACCTGAAACGTAAGATTTCCCTTGGTTTGATTTTTAGTGAAAACAATATGAAGGTATAAATCAAATTAAGCTGTATTTAATTTGGGTAAAAGTTACTATTGATGATATTATATTAGTGTTGTTTCCATTGTATTACTTGTTTTATTGTATCAATGGTTTGGTAGATGCTTGGAAGACCAGACTATTTCTGGGTCTAATTTGCTCTGTGCCATCTTCAGTTTCATGCACATTAGAATTTCAAATGAGAAAGGAAGATAAATTGCTCTGAGAGTTGTATGATCATTTTTAGTAATTCCCTGATTCCCAGAGTTTGTTGAGGTGTAAAATTCAGTTCTCATGAGGCTTGGAAGTCGTTCAGAGCAATAGCAGATGGTAGACACTTTGCGACATACGTAAGCAAAACAGCTGTGAAAATATTTTAAGGTGGAGACGCAAGATAATTTGGTTGTATATGGATAATTCTTTCATTACTAATACAGAATTATTATTGAAAAGTATGTAAACTATTTGTATTGAACACCCAAAAATGAAAATTTTGTCATCATTTCTTCATGAGACTCTTTCTTCCGTGGAGCATTCTGATAAAATTTTTTGTCCATTAAAAACACTCACAATATTTTCATTTATGTTCCACAGAGGACGAGTCATACAGGTTTGGAACAACATGAAAGTGAGCAAACTATGACTTTAAAATTTTCAGACATTGTCAACTAGTAGGTTACTATCCTGACTTGAAGTGGCTCAGTTTGATAGACTCGTGGATCACACCAGCTCGTTCACAGATGGCAATACGTGCCACAGGCCCTGTGCACAAAGGAATATCGCTGGATTTGAGCTTTTGAGTACTGATAACGTCATTTTCATGCATAAAAATGATAGTTTCATAACAGTATGTGTACTAGACCAGCTCGGCATGTAACACCAAGCATATTTCATGACTAGGCCAGTGCATCTGTGTTTTAAGGATTTATTGCTGAAAACAGTTTTTCTCTTGACCTTAATCCCAATGTTTATTTTTAGATTTTTTTTGGATTTATATAACTACAACAATTCAAGGACAAAATTGTTCCACTGCATTTAAAAAAAAAATACTGTCATCAATATTTAAAAATATATTTAATAATAATTAGTATATATTTCAAAAGTTTGGAAGTCTCTTATGCTCACTAAAGCTGTGTTTATTGAAGCAAAAATATAGTATGGACCATAATATTATTTCATTTTCAAAAAAATATTTTCTACAATTATATATTTTAAAGTCTAATTTATTCATTTGATGCAAAGCTGAATTTTCAGCATCATTACTTCAGTCAGTGTCACATGATCCTTCAGAAATCATTTAAATATGCTGATTTGTGTGTCAATTTGTTGCACCATATTGTACTTTTATTCCTAAATTTTGCTTATGCAGGGAAAAAATTTATATCTTCATGGTTGCTTCATCTTTCGGGTTGTTCTTGACTCCCTGTTGATTTCCCTCGCTGTAATAGTATCAGTATCCGCATCATCGCCAAGCTATTAACACAATTCCCTAGCCCTCATGATGATCCCAGACTCCTTCAGGTCAACAGAGATTCTTCAACATAAGACTGATGACGTTTAAGACCTCAACTCTTATGACAAAATGCTGACAAGGCTCTTTATATGACTTTTTATATGGCATTTTGTGCCCTGTACATCAAGCATAACATAGGTGTTTTAGTATAGACTGTATATTTGTGAAGTTTATATCATTTACAGTGACCTCATATGTACTTTTAATGTTTAGGATTGTTTGAGTTTGGATTGCAAAGTCTCCACTCACTGTCAATGGTCAGAGATCAATAGATTACTTGGAATCCTATCAAGTGATTATGGGCCACCTGCAAACTAAGACATGTATATTTATAGACCGGCAGATGGGCGGGGGGGTTGATCAAAGCTAATGTAGACATTTGTTTAATAATTTTAAGTTTACCAGGGGAATTTCAACTAAATTCTTTGCTGTGTACCCAGCTAACAGGGAACGTTCACATAACTTGTAGCTACGTTCTGGCAATCTTCTTTCAAAGTTAGATAAAGAATATTTATCCTTCAAAAATAATGTTTGCAAAATTATAAGATGAAAATGTTTTTCCAATGTTTATGGAAAAATCCGAAATAAAGTTTTCATAACTTAATCGGAACATTAGGAAAACATTGTTAGAATTCTTCTGGGTAAAAAACTTTTTTTTTTTTATCTCTAGGGTTCAGAAATGGGCCATCACCCTTTCAGAGCAAATCAATGCCATTGCATCAAAATATTCAGGAGCTGCTCTATTTCAAAAGGTAAATATCTATGAAATTCTAACCTTTCCCAGTCCATTAAAAAAAAATTGTATTAATAGTCAGTAAAATAAAGGAGCTAATAATAATGACTGTTTCTTGCTGTCTTCTTTTTTGCACGTTCAGTCAGGAGAACCATTGCATATATTCCTTAATTAAAAACAAATTGTTCCTGAAAAGCATACTACTTAAACCATTCTCTCTGTTTGCCCAGAAACTCAAAGATGTTGAATCCATCATCAAAATAGAGGAAATGGATGGAGCTCGATTAGTGCTGGATTTTTCTGATGAAATCGAGAGAATGCTTGGCAGCAAGATGAAGTCTGTGAAGGTCAGTGTAAAGTGCTCTTTATTTTATTTTTCGATTGATCATAATTTTTAAGACTCCGATTTTACAGTTTCTACTGTTATTTTGTGAGGAACTTTGGTTTTAACTCACGATACTGTTCTCTTTTTCCTCAGAGGCTCGCAGACACAGCTGAGGATGCCGACCTGTATCATGAGTTTAATGCATCTTTACAGGTAAAAAAAAATCATCAAAATAAAACTGATTTGCTATGTAAACCTGATTGTAAAATTATACCCTAAATATCACTTATTAAATTGAAATTAATTAAATAAATAGATCATTCAAATATATTAAATATTTTATTTATATAATAACCTTGCCTACATATATTAAATTAAGTAAATGCAATTATTGCATGGTCATTTTTTTTTCAGTTTGACTACTATAATTCATTATTGGTGAATACTATGGATGAAGAGGGAAATTTCATTGAACTTGGAGGCGAATTTCCATTGGAGGAGAATGAACATTTCAACAAGCTGTCAGTCAACACTTTAATGAGTGACATCCAAGTTCCAACTAATGTGTACAACAAAGGTATGATAGCAATGATGAGAATCTACACTGGCTTTGTATCTGATTTAAACACTGGTTAACATTTAAACATCTAAAACGAATTTGTGTCGTGTTTATTTGCAGATCCAGACATTCTTAATGGAGTGTACATGTCAGAGGCCTTGAACGACATCTTCATCAGTAACTTCCAGAAGGATCCCACGCTTACTTGGCAATATTTTGGCAGCTCAGCAGGCTTCTTCAGACTCTATCCAGGTTTGATCAATTCTGCATATTGATCAGTCCTACAACTTCAACGACAAAAAAATTAATGTAAAACACATTTCGTTTTGCTTTTCTTTGTACCTTTTAGGAATCAAATGGACCCCTGATGCTAATGGCGTTGTTGCTTTTGACTGCAGAAACAGAAACTGGTGAGACAAAGTAAAGCATTTGACCTCCTGCATTTCCAAGTGCTCTTCAATTGATTCAATTATATGAAATGAAATGTATGCCAATTGACTTGGATTCAGCAAGACCTTTTCCTGACCCAGAGTGCAACGCAGGATTATCTGTGTGGATGCCACCCAAATGCCTGCTTGTGTCTATACTAGCACAGCCAGTTAGGCCCTCATACCATTGAAAGACTTTAATCTCATTCTTAAGTGGTTAGCAGCTCAACAGCCAGGTTAGTAGGACTGAGACAGGCTCCATATGTGAGTGTTTATACAAAGGCAAGTGATTGCAATGAATCTGAATAAACACACCAGTCTGAAGACACGGCCATTTTGAAACAAAACAGAATTGGATGTACGTCGTCATTGTGTTTGTGACTGTCTAGCTTATAGGACTGAGAAAATGATAAAGTATCTTATATACAGTACTTTTTTGATATTTATGTGTATGCAGCACTGAAATGAGTGAAAAAACAAACAAACAAACAAACAAAGAGATGAATGATGCTGACATTACTAAAGAAAATGTACTGTTTTAGTTCAACATAAACGGTGCTTCCGAAATCTGAATAGGTACTACATTTGAATTTGAACTTCACGACCGTTAAAAAATAATCCGTAATCCGATGACCTACTACATTCACCTTGTTGTCATCATCATGTGAAGTAGGTCATCCGGGAACTTTTCGTCTACAGTATTTATAATACTATGAATTCTGACATACATACTCTGTTTTTCGCATACTAGGGAAGTATTCGTTTTCAGACGGAGCAAAAGTGATTAATAGGGACCATATCGGTATCGGCCAATACTGTATATGTTGCCCGATAAGAAAATTTGGTTGATATTAAAGACGATAAATGTTTCAGATGCGCACTGTTCGCTATGGTGGTTTTGAGTTGCTTGAAATATGATTGGAATCACTTCAAAAAAGGAAATAGTCCAACATGCACATCACAAGTCATATAGGCTACATAAAATGATAATAAGAACATTATAATTGTGTGCTTGGGACATGGGACGTGGCTTTTAATAATGAGACTTGCTTTTGTAATCAGGCTGTCAAAAATTTTATAAAAATTTAGATTTAGATTTATCGGCCAACATATCAATATGAGTTGATTAATATTGAGTTCTACAACTTGCCTCCAGTGGATCACCTGTTACAGAATCAAACAATGAACCAATCAGAACATGACACATAAGACAAGGGAACACATGACAGAGACTTGAAACAAGACCTGACAGTTTGAACTGATTCACAAACTTAACTCAAACGCATTTAAATCATAAAAAACTGTAACATAATGCTCTCATAATCATAATACTCTTATATTCATTTGGTCACACAGTCACACTTTAGTGTAGGGTCCAATTCTCATTACTAGCTAACTGTTAACTACAGTACGACCTTTGCCTCAATAAATTCCTAATAACTGTTTATTAATAGTTAGCAAGGCATTAATGTGCTTTATAAGAACTAATAAAAAGCCAATATCCTATAATAATTATGCATACAAATAAGCAACTAGTTAATAGTGAGAATTAGACCCTAAACTAAAGTTTTACCATTAATCTTTGTCATAACAGTCGAATAGAAAAAGCATTAAATTGTTGCACTTTCCAGTGTTAATTAATTTTATATTGACAAGAAAGTCATCACAAATTTATTGGGACTGTTTGATATAATGCCCAGTCTTAGGCCTAAATTGGATACTTTATAATAACTTATCATTATTATAATCAATCATTTAGCAATGCAATAATACACTGATCTGTTCTGATCATTTTCTAAGAAGATCCTCTCTCTCTGTCGCAGGTATATCCAGGCTGCCACCTCTCCTAAGGACATCATCATTGTGGTTGATGCCAGCGGCAGCATGAAGGGTCTGAAAATGACCATTGCCAAACACACCATCAACACCTATCCTGGACACGCTCGGGGAAAATGACTTTGTCAATGTTATTGCAGTAAGAGTACACTTTGCTTTTCATATAGCATCATTTTCTCATTTTATCAGCATTGTAAAATTTTGCACTTCCTTTCCTTAGTACACTGATTATGTCCGCTACGTGGAGCCCTGTTTTAAGGGAACATTGGTGCAGGCAGACTTGGACAACCGCGAGGTAAGTCGATTATCCACTTCACTTGAGCCTTAGTAACTAAGCCAATGACTCCAATCAGTACCGCAGGATACCGGCACCCTACCATCGCCTCGTATGCACTCACGCATGCCTCGCACATGTAGTTACACATTATTATTTTCTTTTCTATAATTTGTTTAGATATGCTTTATTTATTATCTTTATCAGATATTAGATTTTTTTATATCTCTGAATTATTACATTTGAATCAGTATTATTTAGGTCTTGTGCAATTTTATGTTGAACTGTTTTCCATATGACTCTCATTTCAATAATTTCTAAATACTCCTTCCATCTGCCTTTGGTTGGAAAAACAGATTGTCCCAGCCCAAACTCATCCCACTGGTTGAGCAAATGTCACAACGTTGGGCTGGTGTCCACATTTTTACACTTTTTGGGAAATCAACGTGTAAATACACAAATTTACACGCACACACATTATATATATATATATATATATATATATATAATGTATTTACCTGTTGATTTCACAAAAAGTGTTGATTCAAATAATATATATATATATATATATATATATATATATATATATATATATTTCAGTTACTTATAAATAATCAGCATTGAAACAAACAGCATTTCTTTTCAGGGACACTAGGCTGTAGCTTTGACAGGGAAACTCGGCCCATCCTCATTCTGCTGTTGCTTTTAGTCATGTGATGGGCTAACAGGTGCATGATTTGATCTAATATGCAGTTTTTTTTGTTTGTTATGTATCAGAGAGCAAGTAGGGACGTACTCTAATCTCTGGAATTACAGTTGATGTTGGATACAGATTTATAGTGCGATCGGATAGTGAAATTACTAGGTAGCACGTTTCATCCTTTGGATCACTCTCGTAATACTGTTTTGTTAGTGAAATCAAAATTCAGACAGTTTTGTACATGCAGTAGAAATAAAACATATATTGATAATGCCATGAACTGATTAAAAAATAATTTTAATTGAATTAATTGCATGATAAGCTGATAAATTAATCACAAATATTCTCACATATCAGTGTTTGCGAAGTAAAGGCCCCCAAATGAAGACGTTTTCTGCACGCCTGAGCACACTAAATGGCCATACAACTTACTCTACCATTGTGCATCTCTAAATACCCACAAATAGGATAATGTAAATTGTGTAGGACAGTTGGACAGGTCTGTGTATTACCAGACTGGGACTTAATACAGGTTGATGGGTCAGGAGAGCTTGTAATGATATTCCGGTCTAAGTCACTCTGCATCTGCTCGAGGTTCTGACACAGATCCTCTAAGAAATACTCTGAAAGACAGCAGCACAATCAGATCCCTGTCCCACCTCAGATGAACTTGAACCCATTTTTGAACAATCTCTCAAAGTCTTAACCCTTTTATTGCCACTGGTCAGTTACTATCTGGGGAAAATACATTAAAAATAAGTCAGCAATAAGATTTGATAAATAAATGCATAGACAAGTTTTCTTTTACATTTTTACTTCTCAGTGCCTATATTTCTTCTACTTTCTTGGCCATTTACTGTTTTCGGTGGTTCTACGGTAGGGGCGCTATTAGGCATCTGCTGTACTGAATCTCCAGATCATCAAAACACAGGCGAAGAAGAAGCAGAAACAAACTTTTTTAATGCAACTTACCCAAACTTACCCACATTTAAGTGTTGATTTAAAAAGTCATGCATGAAGCTAGAATAAAAGTTTTTTGTTTTGTTTTTTAAGCAGAGATTTGTTCTTTCTTTTGATATATTGCATATTCAGATATTCACACAACAAAATATTCTGGGCCATGAAACTTCTAAAAAAGGTTAAAAAATGTGGTGGCTGGCAAATTTTTTATTTATTTATTTTTTTTTTAGCTCTGGCGGGGAAAGAGTTAAGACTGTTTTTAATTAACTTTTAATTTTAAATGTTTTCATTTGAATATTAGTTATCATTTTTACTTTTTTATTTATATTTAATTTGAGGTTTTAGTTGTTTTGACTTTTATTCTTTTTTACTTAAATATTTCTTTTTAGTTTAATCGTATTAGTACTTGCATTTAAAGTTCTTTTATTTAACATTTCATATTTACTTTTTTCATCTAATATTTATATTTTATTTCAGCTTCACTTCAAGTTAACTATTTGTAATAGTTTTAGCTTTCATTTTAGTTGACAATAACAACACTGGTCGAGGAGAAGCAGATGAGGTACTGAGATTTAGATTTTTGGGGAAAGTGTAAAAGATTCAAAACCTCACTTTTTTTTCCCAATCCCATCTCTCATTTCAGCATTTCAAGCTGCTTGTGGATGAACTCCATGTAAAGGGAGAGGCTAAAGTCAAAAAAGCCATGAAAGAGTCTTTCCGCATCCTCGCTGATGTCAGTATCATTCACAATACTTTTTCACATAAACATACAAAACTGCATACGATGCCAACCCTCTGCATGTCCTCCATGTTCCTCTTCCTGTCTCCTAGGCCAGAGCAAATGGTCAGGGCAGCCTATGTAACCAAGCAATTATGCTGATCACAGACGGAGCCATGGAAGATTTCCAATCAGTGTTTGAAGAGTTCAACTGGCCTGACAGGAAGGTAACACACAATCTGCTCACTCTACAGGGAACGGAGGCTGTAACATATGACGTACGGCATCTATAAAATCTGCTTACTGCTCTGTAAATTTGTTGAAGAGCCTTCTAGAAAAATGTCCTGGTGTGCATTGCTCACTTTACCTTCATAAACAGATTTGAAGACAATGAGACTTGATTGAACAAATAAAATGTATGGATATATTTCCAACGGAACAATGATCAAACTACAGTAACATAAAATGTAATGTTTTCAGGTACGGGTTTTTACTTACCTTATTGGCAGAGATATGACCTTCTCAGAAAACGTCAAATGGATTGCCTGCAACAATAAGGGTATGTAGTCAGCCAAAAAACAAACAAACAAAAAAAAACAATGATTTCCTCTCCCTCGTGATTTTTTTGTATTACTTTCTTGCTTCTGTAGAACACAAGATTGAAATGTTCGAGATTCAAAAAAGGACACAAAAGCACAATGAAAGTCTCATTTTCGATATGACTCATGCTGTACAGTATTTCAAATCTTCTGAAACCATATATTAGTTTTTGAGTTTTTGTAATGAACAGAAATTGAATCTTCCCCTCCAGTGAGCTGTCAACCACTACAACTGAGTCAGTGAATTGAACTCGAGACAGACATAAATTTGTCTGAATGAATGATTCATTAATGCATTCTTTTATGCACCATTCAGAACAGATGATTCTTGTGAACTGGATCCACTGATTCATTAAAAAAGACTCATTTTGTTCCTGATTTGTTCTGGTGAAGATTTTAATAATAGCTCTAACATAATATCACACAACTTCAGTAAACCTGAAATAAAGTGCATGAACAATTGATCAAGCTTTTTGTCTTTTTGGAAGCTTGAAAGCACCATTATCCACTCATTATAATTTCACTCATTATAAATCAACATATTAGAACGATAAGAGCGGATGGTTATTGGTAAAAAAATGAAGCAATTTTTTCCATCAAGAAAATATGCAAAAAGCGTATACATACATTTTATATTTACAGGATATTATACTCACGTCTCTACACTGGCTGACGTACAGGAGAACGTCATGGAGTATCTTCATGTTTTGAGTCGACCAATGGTCATCAACCATGACCATGACATAATCTGGACCGAGGCATATATGGACACTGTTGTGAGTAAAAAAATGATACCAATCAGAAAAACACCAGAGAATTACAATACAAAATCAGCTTGAATTCACATTTCATAAATTCCCAATTCTCATTTTCCAACGGTTCATAATTCATTTCAAGGCCTTTCAATGTGATTTTTTTTTGTGTGTGCTTTTTGTCCCAAACGTGTGCTAATACTATATACCATGTCATATTTCCTCATATATCACTGTTCTAATGTGATTCTTTTCCATTCATCGCCATCATCTTCTCTATCACACAGCTTCCTAACACTAAGGAGGTAACTCTTAAAGACAGTAAAACATGGTTCACTGTATTTTAGCATGTTTCAATAGAAGACTGTAGATATTTAGCCTGTGCTCAGAGTATTATGTAGTTGCTAAGCTTGTCAGCGTAGTAGGACTTATTGTTTTAGGACGCCCCCTACTGTTTCTCATCATTTATCACATTTGATGATCCAGCTTGCATTTTTAAAATCAACATGAAATGTGGTTTGCAACCCTTCTTACTTCTTTAATGACATATTTCCAAGTGAAAAAAGTAAAGTGAGGCTGTATTTTACTCATTTGGGTTTGTTTTGATCGGGAAAAATTATACTATAAGACTAGAAATGCGCATATATATGGTAAATGGGGTTAATTTTTCATATCATGTTGATTTTAACTGTGTGCTTCTGCAGTCTGAATGTTTGGTCTTCAAAGTGATCTCAAATCTCTCCCATAGCTGTTCAAAAGCAAGGCTCACAGTCTGCTGCTCATGACGTCAGTGGCTATGCCAGTGTTCAGTAAGAAGAAAGAAACGCTTTCTCATGGCATTCTGCTGGGAGTTGTGGGAACTGACGTCCCCCTGCTGGAAGTTATGAAACTTGCCCCTCGATATAAGGTACAATAAAGACACCACTTGGGTTGCTAGTGAAGTTTGTTTAATTTACTCATTAGATACATGATAATAATTTTAAGTATATATATATATATATATATATATATATATATATATATATATACCACAGGTGCTATTTGTGATTTCAGTACAATATTAGTGGGTGACGAGCTGTTAACTGCAACTAAATATGAAACATGTCCACATCATATTTCAGCTCAAAATCAAAAGATCTTAAATAAAATCTATCTATCTATATATATATATATATATATATATATATATTAGGGCTGTGAAACGATTAATCGCATCCAAAATAAAAGTTTGTGTTTACATAATACATGTGTGTGAACTGTGTATAATTATTTTGTATATGCAAATACACACACACACACACGTATATATTTAAGAAATATTTGCTTATATATACTGTATATATATATATAATTTGTACTATACATAAATACCTTATATATAAATAACAAATTTTTCTTAAATATATACATGTGTGTGTGTGTGTGTATTTATATATACAAAATAATTATAAACAGTTCACACACATATGTAAACACAAATTTTTATTTTTATTGCGAATAATCGCGATTAATCGTTTCACAGCCGTAGTATATATATATATATATATAAATATGAAAATATAACAAATGTTAGGACCATTAAATATTTTATATTTAATATAATATTAAATGTATATTTGAAGAGTTCAGATGCAAAAGCCTCTAAGTGCCATTTGAAATTTTCTTCTAAAATGATCATTTTTATCAAGCTTGTATATTTAAGTTCAGTAATTTCACTTAAATGGCAATGAAGATTACCTATTAATTGTCATTTAAGTGAAATTACTGAACTTAAATATACAAGCTTGATAAAAATGGTCATTTTAGAAGAAAATTTCAAATGGCATTTAGAGGCTTTTGCATCTGAACTCTTCATTTATATTATGACATTATTTTTTATAACAAGCACATTTACCTTGCACATGTTAGGACCATAAAATATTTAATATTTGTATATTAAGCTTATATTCTTACATTAATTTCATAACACGCACATTTACCTCACAAAATCTCATTATAATAAGGAGTTTGTGTGTAATTCACATAATTCACAATGATTTAAAAAAAACTCACTGTAATATATATTTTTTATTTATTTATATCAGCTCAGATGAAAGGCTGTACAACAAATGCTAACATGTTTTATAAATATTTTACAATTTAAATAATACATATAATTTGTATTATATAATAATACTTGGAATGTAAAAGTATAATATAATTGGAAATCTAATGTCACATCATCACATCAATTTAGCTTCTTTCTTGGTTAATTATTTACAGAAAATTGTGACTATATAAATATTTCGACATATTTATAGCTTTGGATGCTTTTATTTGAGACATTTCAATGAACAGCCACAAATGCTGAAAAGAAATGTTAACATAAATATGTGTGGTGGTATATTTTAGCTTGGACCCCATGGTTATGCCTTCCTCATCACAAACAATGGATATATCCTGGCACATCCTGATTTAAGACCACTGGTGAGTCCCTCTGAATCCTGTTACCGTCTCACTCACTCAAACCTTCTTCTAGATAGACCCAAATACTATGAACAGCTGTATACTGTATATTGATTTGTCATCCCTCTTGTTTTTGTAACAGTACAGTGATGGGAAGAAGTTGAAACCCAAGCCTAACTACAACAGTGTGGATCTGTCAGAGGCAGAGTGGGAGGACACCGATGACAGTGTGAGTTTTCCAAATATATGCCATTACTTTCTGTAAGTATCCTCAGCGAAGTCTTTATGATGTCCTGTCCTGTCCTGTCTGTGCAGTTGAGAACAGCCATGGTGAAGGGAGAGACTGGAACTATAGCTTTGGATGTGAGAGCAGCTGTGGATAAAGGGGTGAGCATGTCTGCTACTTTTATGTCATAATGTTAAATTACTCCTTCTTTTGGTGAGTCCTGTCAAGAACGTAACAAAAAGAACCATAATTTAACTCATCATTGTGTTTTTCCTCCATGTTCTTTATATGTTTTATAAGATTCACCATTTTAATAAGTGTTACGTAAAGTGATAATGAATTAAATTTAATGTAAATGTTATATTGAGCAATAACCTAAATAATCTGTATTGTGAAAAGCGCTATATAAATATATTTGACTTGACTTGACTTAATATATCTGATGTATTTTTCCATTTATCCCCCAGAAAAGGCCTTTGTTCCTCAAAAATGATTATTTCTACACAACCATCAATGAAACTCCATTTAGGTTTGATATGTTTCTCACATTCTCTGAATATTCCCGTCATACTTACTGTACATGAAATAGATTATTGTAAAACGCATATTTTAGTAACAACCTTCATATGATGCTTGTTTCTATTGTGGTTTCAGCTTTGGGATGGTGCTTACGAGAGGTCACGGGCAGTACATGGTCTTTGGGAATGTTTCCGTAGAGGAGGGTGAGTTTACTGTATGATTAATATGCATCTGTGTGTTATACTGAGGTGGGAATTGTACACTATCGTTCAAAAGTTTGGGGTCAGTAAGATTTTTTTTCTTTGTGACTTTTTTTCAAGCAAGGACGCATTTAATTGATCAAAATTACATTAAAGACAATTATAATGTTACAAAATATTTCGATTTCAAATAAACGCTGTAAAAACTTTACATTTATTAAAAATTGTTTATATATATTAAATCGTAATATTTAATATTGCTGTTTTACAGCATTTATAATCAAATAAATGCAGCCTTTGTGAGCATAAGAGACTTCTTTCAAAGACAATAAAAAAATCTTACCAACACTAAACTATTGAACGGTTAGTGTATGTGTTTTAATTAATTTAAAAATGTATATAATTTTACAGATATTTACATAATAAATATGGAAATCTTTGTTTATTCCACTTTTTGATTTTGATAATCATTATTATTTTTTTTATAATTTATATTTTGTTTGATGATTTTTTCAGTTTAAAATTGAAAGTTTTGGGACATGGGTAAACCAACAAAACCTATACCTAAAAGGCATTTTTGCGAATTATAAAAAAAATAACAGTGCCCAAAGTTGAAGAAATTCTATGTGTAAAATGTAAAGAAGTTCTATATGTAATAACACATATTGAAAAGAATTTAGCTGCTACTAATTTCTCTTTCTTTAGGTCTTCATGACCTTCAGCAGCCAGACCTCACTATAGCAGATGAATGGTAAGTAATGTTGAGTTGAAGCAAGAATATAAAAACATAACAGGCAGAAATGTATCTTCTGAACACCATCATAACAACAGGTCTCAAAACTTAATGTGTCTTGCTAAGTTGAAGTTGGTTTACCCACTCAGGACGTATTGCGAGACCGATATTGACCCACACCACCGTAAGCTCACTCAGCTCCAGGCTGTGGTCCGATACCTGACTGGGAAAGAGCCTGACTTGGAGTGTGAGTTTTACTTATCTGTCTTTGACCTTATTTTACAATATTTTCAATGCAGATGCTAAATACTCAATGCTTCAAACAGGCCCATATGAAGCTCTACTAATCCCTGTCTTTTGCCTGTTGATTATAATTTGGCTAAGCAGTTATCAAAAATACTATCCTGTATTTCTTAAGTAAATATTTGAATTTTAATAGGCGACGAGATCCTGCTACAGCAAGTTCTCTTCGATGCTGTGGTAACAGCACCACTGGAGGCCTACTGGACAGCGCTAACGCTAACCGGCTCTGGGTAAGAGGCTTTATTTAAGCTGTGTGTATGTTGTGCATTAGGCACCAACACAAAGCCAGACTTTCCTGTATGTCCTATAAAATTGTCCACTGTCATTTTGGAAGGATTGTTTATAGCCATTCTCCTTTTGCTTTTATCTCCCTATAGGGTTGATGAAGGCATGGAGTCAGCTTTCCTTGGGACCCGCTCTGGGATCATGCGTGTGATCAGATATGCAGGAAGTGAGAAACGTGTGGGAAAGTGAGTGAGATATTATAAAATCAACTCATAAGTAGTATTGAAAAATGTTGTGTTAGTCATTTAAATGTTTTTGGCTTTTAGTATGACTACTGTTATCTATAAGCTAGTGTGCTCCAAAACTCGAATTTACAGTCTCTCACTTCCGACAATTTGAATCAATGATTTTGATGACGTCACTGTGCTTAAACTTGTCATCAGATTTTCTGTCCAGTCAAATGCTCAATATGGAGATTAGGAGGAGAAATGTTTAGAGATTAGGAGGAAACTGTGGCTTTGTCGAGTTGTGATGTGATATAAACAGAATGCTATTGGCTATTTTTATAAAGGGGAGGAGCTGCTCCATATGCCCCACCCAGTCTTCCTGTTTCACTGGAAATTACATCAACACATTGGATATTGCTGCACATTTTAAGGCATTGGTAGCTGGACCAGCTAAAACAATTTTTAAAGAGTCTGTTGGTTTATTTGTATAGGTTGCATAGGAATTACAGTCATTACGTTCCTGTGTGTGTATTGCGTGGGCAGATATTGTGTGTTGCGGTAGGTGGTATGCCATGGAACATCAGCATGGAGTTTAACATGTACTCTCATGTAGTGGAAATCATGAGATAAAGAAAAAACATTTATGATACCATTGTCAGATTTTATTTTTCATTTGAAATATGTTATTGAAACAGTATTTTCAAAAAACATAGATTTTGGCCTTTCCCCAAATCTCCTGATACTTTGACCTCACAGGAAGTTCTTGACCCCTGTGGACAAAGAGAACCTCTTCACTGTGGATCACTTTCCAATTTGGTATCGCCTGGCAGTTGAGAACAAGCCGGGTCAATTCTTCTTCTATGTCCCACATGATGATATAAACAAAGGTGCGTTAATACTGATTATTAAATTTACTTGTAGAAAAGTCAAAGTTTCCAGAAGGCTGCAGTATCCTATAACAGTCTCCTATGTCCAACAGGCAGGAACACTTTTGTGGCAGTAACATCTGTGACCGTGTCTGAAGGGAAAAGAACGGCTATTCCTGGAGGTAAGATATCTGTCTGCCATAGTTTGAATTCTGAAATCTGATTTTACATTGAACATATACTGATTTAGCATCATTAATTAGTCAAAATTGAGTGACCATATTTGAATTCTGTTTGGTCGATATTGAATATTTAATTGTTCATGCACATTTCACCTATTTTTACTTTTTGATTACCTTAGTCGCAATCTTGCTCATTAAAGTTAATCTTTAAAAATACAAACAATAAATTTTTATATTGTACATCGTAATGCAGTGATGTAATTTGTGTCGTCACTTGAATGTAATCACTTTAAAGCATTTAAAATGATTGATTTTAGTGTATAATTTTCCATTTATTTTGATTCAGTCATATAAAATTTTAATAACACGATGCTTACTTAATCATAAATAGAAGCTTAACATAACTATCATAATTATTTACCAAAATTTGAATATCTGTACTTTAATATATATGTACTGTACTTGCATATTGAACATAGACAAACACAGTTAAAATAGTCTGTTTCTAAATTTGAGAAAATATACTATTTAAAATACTAATTAACATGATCGATAGCAACCATAAGATTAGGAAGTTAGGAAAATTCATTGGAAAAAATAAAACATTACATGAAATCATATGCAACATAGCTTCGAAATTTTCCTTTATTTGATACCTTTAGTGAGTACCACTTAAGAATGTTTAGGCCCTGTTTAACCTGGTATTAAGATGCGTTTTGGTCGATCGGATCACAAGTAGACGAAGGAGTGGAGATGCACGGTTGGCGGTTACAGCTGCGGACTCCGCGGATCGGGCGGATGACGTGGCGAAAAAAAATATTTTAATTAAATTCGGGCGGGTGGCGAGCGGTCAATAAAGGTTCATGTGTGTCACAGAATTGGTGTTTCCGATTTCAGATTCAAAAATTACAAATGTGAACATGCACTGTTGTGCGGTGGAATTTCATTGAATTTCGGAATGAATAGAGTCTGCGTTTCTTTAAAATCAAGGCTTTATGATCTGATCAACAGAAACACATCTTAATACCAGGTGTAATCATTAGTTTTATATATTTTGTCTTTAATTAGTATGAGCTATAAATGCTCCTGAGCTATTGGGTCATTTGCCCTCTCCCTCCCAAACTAAACATTTATAGATCTATGTTCATCAATGATTAAAAAAAGCACCAATAAAAACCCCATATGAGTTCATTACGTGCTTTAAACACACACTTCTGGAGGGAATGCCATCCACCCTACGCACTCTGTGGCTTCTGCTCCCTTTCCGATAGTCGGCATCAGATCCTCTTTGTCATCCTGCTCTGGTTCCTTGTCCTCCATCAGTGGCTGTTGCTGCTGGCTGTTCCCATGCGTCAGCTCCTGATGTTCATTAGCGACCAGCGTCGCGTAGATGCAGCCGTAGGTGGCCGTTACCACCATCAGCACACACACCACTCCGCACACCACCCCAGCTACCACCACTGTGGCCGTCGCCCGCCTCACACTCACAGGGCGATAACGCTGGCGGATGCAGTCTCCTGCTGGCCCGGCTGGGACCTGGTGACCCTCGGCAGCAGATGGGTTCCTGGTCTCGAGATAGAGCGGGTAACAGTGTCTGAACATCTCCATAGGAATACTGCGAAGATCCTTACTATGCAAATTAGAAGGGAAAGAGCAGTTGGCGGAATCTACATGGCCACCTATGGAATGACAAAAAAAAGATAGAATTGAGAAAATACAATTAAATTGAATAAAATATTAAAATATAACATATTCATGTTTTAAATGCATTTTAAACCTGTTAAAAGTGTTTGTCTATGTTAAATATTTATGTGCAGTGTCTTTTTAATTTATTGATTTATAGGTTTTATGAAATATATGAAAATTAGGACTAATAGTAAGCTAGTACTAGTAAGCTGATAAATATTTTCATGCTTATTTCAACTAATAAGTGCCTAATAATTTAGACTATTAACTTAATTTAGACTATCAAGTCTATAAAAATTAATTAAACAGAATAAACTGAAAAAATACTAATTTATTTAATAATCATTTATAATTTGTGTACACACATACTAATAAATGGCCAAATAATAAAATCTATATTATTAAAAATAAACAGTAAAAAAAAAAACAGGTAAATGCAATAAGAGAAACAATATAAAAATTGATGTTCATTTTGAGATTCCCTAAAGATAACATTTAACAGTTATCAAAGTTGTTAAAAATGAACTTAAGTCAGCATGAAAAAAAAAATTTATTTGCCCTTTACCGATATAATTATGAATGTTTTATCTATGCATAGGTTTTGCTTTTAGAATTAGTTTTTTACCTCATAATGCCATAACTCGATCATCTGGTGAAAACAACCCTTCTCTCTTGTGATGTATGCCGGATTTCTCCAATCATTTAGTCTGCTTAAACTCCACCCCTTTCTTAATACCAACTGTGTAGAACCCCCTGTTTATTTATTTATATTTCTGTTCTTTTTCGATTATCCGTTTTACTCTGATATATTACAATAAGGAACAAATAATCTGCTGCTACCTGTACTTGTAACAGTACCTGCTACCTGTAACCGATATGGTACCAAAATATTGTGCATCACTAATTTCCAGCAGTGATAAATGACCTCACTCACCTGTATACATGATCCATTCCAGCCAGTGCTTGAGTGGGATCAAGTTGCAGTTGCAGTTCCAGGGGTTTCCGTCGAGCAGAAGGTGCTGTAGAGCAGTCGCTGGCTCAAGTGTGGTCCGCTGCAGGGTTCTCAGCTTGTTGCCTACAAGCGAGAGCCACACTAGGTTCTGGAGCCCATCCAGTAGGTGTGTGGGCATGGAGATGAGACTGTTTAAGGAAAGATCCAGGCGCCTAAGCTCAGTCAGGCCTTTGAACTGGTCTGGGTTCAGTTCCTTTAACCTGTTGTCTCTTAGAACCAGCTCCGTTAGGCTGCCGAGATCAGAGAACAGATTGACGGGTAGCCTCACAAGGACGTTTTCAGAGAGATCCAGGAACTCCAGGTTGTTCAGCAGGGAGAAGCTAGAAGGGGAGACTGTAGAGAGAAGGTTTCTGGAGAGGTCTAGATGTAGCAGGCCACTGAAATTGGAAAAAGATCCAGGGTTGATGGTGGAGAGAAGGTTTCTGGAGAGGTCTAGATACATCAGGATGCTGAGATTGGAAAAGCTCCCTTGTTCCACAATGGTGAAGTTGTTTTTTGAGAGGTTGAGGTAGCTTGTGTTGAAGGGAAGCTGGTCCAGGATGGAGTTCAAGGAAACCGGTCGGTTAAGGTCACTGCAGTCTGTTTGGTTCACATTGCAGGAACAGACTGATGGACAACTTGTTGATGTTCCACACAGGCTCAGAAGGGTCATCAAACTCCAGGAAACTACAAGAAAATGGAGAGGGTTGGGAAATTGTAAGAGTTGAAAAGATTGAGAATACTTGTAATAAGTTGAGGGTCTTACTTATAATGTTCATCCTGGCCAAATGCTGTTGTAACAGTTCCTTAGCAAACAGGAGCATCCACTAGTCTACACCAAATGAATGCCATGATGAATCCACCTGGACATCTCCTGGAATTGAGATGATAATGGGAACAAATACCCTTAGAAGAAGATATTTTAGGAGGATCGGTCATATGGTGCACGCACAGCTGGTACAGATTAATTTATGATGGTACTAATAAGCTGACTAAAATTAAAATGTAAAATGAATGCCCTGTGAAGGATGAAAATGAGTCGGACCTAAAATGGATTTGAGTCTTCAGGAGGAAAAAAAAAGAGTGAAAGAGTGTACTTTGTATAAAAGCTGCCCGGAGGCCCATTACTTTTTCTAAGAGCATAAAGCCTAGTGAAAAACTAGATGCATTTGAGGTCCTTTTTGCCCATCACATTTGCTGCATTAAACTTTCCCGGATTAAACTGTCCACACCATTAGATAATAATCAGAGCTGAGAACGACATCCACTTTATCAGTGAAAAGAGGATCAAATACTGTATGCTGGAATGTCCACTTCTTGTAATGCATAACACTGTATGAAATCTGTCAAAAATACAATTATATTTTTAATATCTGATTAAACCGGGTCATACTAAAGAAAAGGTTGTAAGAAAAAAAGCCTAAATAATGTATGAACTTGAACTTAAGTTATAAAAGCATTTATTCTGTGCAACAAAGTGAATGAGCACAAACAACGACCATTGCTTATTTAATCAAATCAATGAGAAATGATTATGATTGCACTTACACTAAAAGTAAATAAGACCAGAAACGTACCTTTCTGTTGTGCTCATCATCTATAGGTCTTCATAATCGTTCCTATCAAGGCAGAGTGAGCAAATCAACAGAAAATGAAAAATAAAAAAAACAAGAGGAACGTACAGTTGTTCCTCACAGCTTGCAATGCCCAGTGTGTGTATGAGCGTGGGTCACATCAGTTAGTAGGACTAACATTAGAACAGTCTGTGCCGGAGAGAGAGAGATAGATGGACTGAGGAGGGGGCAAAAGAGAAAAAAAATCATCAGCTGATACAGCTTAGAAATGGGAGCCTCTTCATTTTTTTCAGGTCTCTTTTCCTGTAGCTTATGATGTTGCACATATGAGGATTAATCATGTGATATAGAGCATAAACAAATGTTTTCCTGGAAAACATGAAGACAGGGTTCTTGCGTGCATGAAAAGCCTGTAAATATCTGGCCATTATCTGCACTGGAAAAATCATGGAAATGAATAAAATGATATAATATTTAGGGAAATTGCTTAATTGTCTTGTTATGATCAGCTCTAAAATATTTAATTGACTAGAAATTATGAATGCAACCTCTTTAAAATGATTTTTTTTTAATCCTGGAAATTCTGTTAAAAATATTGTAAATATTTATGGATTTTTTTTTTAATCCGATATGAATGCAATATCTGTAAAATACCTCATCTATTCATACTGAATGTTTCTTTGATTTTCCCCTTGTACTAGCTATTGGAATGCAAGCATCCATGGACCTGCTGGAAAGAGTGTTCTTTTCGATTGCCAAACAAGTGAGTTTGACCTCAAAAATATTGTTAACACTTTACAATAAATCCATTTGTTTACATTAGTTAAGTACATTAGTTAACCTGAACTAACAGTAAAACCGTTTACATATTTGATTTTTTTTTTAATTTGATACAAAAATATTCATATTATAAATACATAGAGGTGTGAATTTGCTGTGTAGCGAATGACAACAATCTAGAAATATGAGATGTTGTTCTGAAGGTCTTTGGTTAATGGTGTGTATCAGTTCCTGTCCGCCTTACCCTGACGAATGAGCAAATAGTGTTTGTCACTGGAGGTTTCGAAGCGTACATGTACATGCTCACGTCTGCAGGCCTCCGAGGGATTTATCAAGATGCTTGCTACTTAGCAAACACTCTTTATCTAATGCGACTTGCCACATGCCTTATTGTCCCTTCTGGGGTTTAAACCTACGACCTTTTAATCTGGCCATCCCTGTTTCACCCAAGGGCTCTTTTCTTGTCCTTTGTAATCTGGAGGAACACAAACAACTATTTGAATCACCTAACATTTTCCTTCTAATTTTTTTCTTCCCTTATTTCCTGTCAGCCAAACAACACAGATGTAAGTATTGCATTGTTGTCTTCACTTGATTTATACATTAAAAGAAGCCAAAATGCATTTATAAAGTACATTACACTAATATGGTACACTTTGGTGTCCTATTACTTTTTAACAGCATTAGATGCACAAATTTGTACATGCTTTTTTATGAGACTGTTTTAGAACATAAAATTGAGATAATATGAAAAGCAGCTTGCACTGCAAAAATTTGTAAGTAACCTGGTTGCCTTAATTTTGAGTTCATTGACAAAAAAATGTGAGTTAATACAATTAAGGAGATTGGTTTAATCAACAAACTGAACCACATTAATTATCTAAGTGTTTATTTTTATTTTATTAATTTTTTATTTGTGAGAACAAATCATGAACAGATTTTTTACAGTGTAGTTTTGCACCTCAATGGTCTATATCCCCCATAAAATGGGATTTTGGTCTGTCAGGTCCAATATCCAACAATTAAAATTTGTTGTCAAATTATCATTTTTTTTAGATGAAACGTCGTTAAACGTACTTCTCAATTTTTATTGTTGCACTCATAATTGTTAACTGTATTTATTAAGTTTAACCTTCAATCATGTTATCATTTGAAAAATTATACTAATGGGAATTATAAGTTTGCCAATAACTGCAAACCAGCATTCGTCAACTTCTCTTTGGCTAAATTTGCAACTGTCACCAATTCTTTTTTGACTTGATAAATACTTGATAAATTGTATCTATTTAATTTCAATATGATTTGATATTATTACTATTAAAGAACACAAATTGAGACATGCACCAAGTTTGGGTATGGTTGCAAAATTACCTGTATACCCTATTCATGTAAAGGACCATAAAATAATCGCTACACAAGTAACAGTAATTTCACCAATGTAGTGTTTTCTAAATATAATGTATCCAATAAAATGTTCTTGTCCATTTACAAAAGCCCTTGCGGTTGTCTTCTTACTCTTTGCAGTGCAGTGATGTGGAGGGTATATGTCCTCTCAGCTGTGAGAGCATCGTGAGTGAAGCTGATTGACTTTTCTTTGTCATCTTTGGTCCTGACCCAAATGGCACACTTCATATGCACTTACAGTCTTGTGGACTTACAGTGGCCGCCGCATACACATGTCCACAAGTCCGTGGGGTGTCTCTTTTGTTATTTGTGGCCGATATGCACCCTAGATTTGCGCTTTTGTTGAGCCCACACTAAAGCGAGCCCGTCTGCAGACTTACCTCACGAAAGGTTGGCAGACCGTGAGGGTTTAGGGTGCCGTTTGGGACAGGGCCTTTATGCAATCTGTTATTCATTGTTCTGATTCAGTTCATTTACACTTACTTCAAGGGAATCCAAGATGTAGGTGTCTTTGTTTCCACAGTATTTTCAATTTTGATATTTTTAGGTCAAACCGTTCTTGTCTGTCGGTCATATAATGCAGGTATGGGGGTCCACCTCAAAGAGCATGCACAGAGAAGTCCAAATTAAACATGATTTAATGACTCGTAAATGTAAGTACACATTGATGGCCTAAGACACGAAACGAGCGGTTTGTGTGAGAAAACGAACAGTATTTATATCGTTTTTACCGCTTGTAACCACAGCCACGTCCAAGTGATCTGAGGGCATGGGCGCTTCTGTCTGTGCAAGCACCGGAAAGCCCTGGATGTTATCTCTCGAGCATGTACGTCAGTCATTGTTTACACAGAGATTTAGGAAGTGTTACCTTTTCTCTGTGAAGATCTAAACATATTTAGATAGATTTAGAGTCATTAAATCATGTTTGAGGAAGACCCCATAGACCTCCATTATATGACTGAAAGACACGAACGGTTTGACCTAAAAATATCAAAATTGAAAATACTGCAGAAACAAAGACGCCTACATATTGGATGCCCTTGACCTTGAGGTAAGCCAAAACATATAAAAAATTAATTTCAAAGTGAACTATCACTTTAAGCACAGTGAAATTGTCAGTTCTAATCCAACTGTGTTTTTCACAGGATATCAATTGTTACCTTGTTGACAATAATGGCTTCATATTGGTCTCAAAAGACAGAGATGATGTGAGTATATAAAATCAGTCTTTAAGTAAAATAAAATGTAAAAAAAAATATGTATAAAATCTCACTAATTATGACAAAATTGGGCTAAAAAACGCTAGTTGTCACACTTTTATACTATATATAATACTGAATATTTCTTAGCTTAGATCTATTTTTGAAAGTTAATTTCTGCATAGACAGATAGCTTGAAATATTTATTTAAAAGCTGTGGAACATTTCCATCATTATTACTCATTCATACAACCATTCATTTGCTTTTGGTTTTGAGAAATGCATTGGCATGGTGAGCTGAGCTTTTCCCAGAGAATAGAAGCAGAAGATGGAAGATGGTTATCTGGTTTTTGTGGCGGTTCTAGCTGCACGTTTCCTTTCCCAGGGGGTTAGATGTGAAGGGCAGGTGATGGGGTAGGCGGATCCTCTCCCTCGAGGACTCGATAATGTACCACAAGCTTGTTCTTAGAGCAAACAGATGGGGTCCCAAATGAAACATTGATTGAAAGAATGAGAATTGACTTAGCCTGCAGGGTAAAATTGGAATAGTTGAAAAAGGTTGCCATATATTTCATTATGTTTTTTGGCCTTTTATATAGAGTGACATCATATATGCGACTGAATATTATGCTTGCATTTGTTATTGGAGTTAGTTGTAGTAGTGCATTGTGTGACAAAAGAATCCTTCAAAGTCTGCGTGAAATAGAAGGTGTTATAGTCTTTTCTTTCTATTACCTTTGAACTATGCTTCCAACAGTGTCTCTAGGAACATTTCATGCCCCCGCTATCTATTTGTATCCTGTTCCTTGTTTGTGAAGGGCGATGATTGATACCTTCTCTTAACTTTTTGGAACATTCTTTTGACTTTGCCATATTTCTAACATGTGACACTCACATAGCTAGCTCAGATATTTCATGTGTTCTAGCTCAAGCAAACCTGGTGCAACTAATGAAGCCCTTGATTATTTGCATCAGGTGTGCTTAAGACAAGATCCGTTTTGCAGATTTGTGCTTTGGGGTGGAATCATTTTAAGACTGCAGAAGTCATTAAAAGTTGCATTTACAGTTAAATTCGGGGGAAACCACATGTGTTGTGCTGAGCTGTGAATTTGACTGACACAGTGGGGGAAGAGGACCTCTAGTGGTGAACCAGGGAAAAACAAACCCATACTGTAACAACGTGTTTTGGAAATATCACGCTATTTACCAATTGCTAAGTTTTAGTTTCAACACACTACTAGTGCAACTCAACCAGGCCCACCCTCTTTTTTTGCGGATGTCTTGGGCAGGAATTACTTAAAAAAGGAATATTTTGGCATGTCCTTTTCTGGAAGAAAACTCAAGCCTACAATTGAAAAATATTATAGTGCATTGATAATGTAAATTATTAATGTTCGAATTTTTGTTGAATTAGTTATTAGATTAACGGTTTTGGTTTCATACCATTTAAATGTAAATGCTGTGTATTTTGTTGCATATCCATCTCTATATGATGACAATGGTCTCATACCATAACTGCAGCTGTAAAATTTGTAACAACACGTCACATGCACTGCAGCTATGTGAGCAGTAGCCTGGAGATTAATGCTTATGGAATCTAATCCCAGATTGCCGTGGGTCAAGTAGGGCAGTTTCAGGCATCTGCTTGCACATCTGGATCACTGCACATCAGTCTGTGTGCGAGTGTGTAGGTGTGTGTGTCTATTCATCTTGGGAATGGTTAGATTCATATTGTGTTATAGTGTTTATTAAACCCCTGAAGGGATCATAAGTAATTCCTCATTCTGTGTTGTAGTCTCTGTGTATGTTAATAATATATTTGATTTCTGTATTTCTTTTCACACAGGTTGGTAAATTCTTCGGGGAAATAGATGGATCTGTTATGGCCCAGTTACTAAAATCTGGCTTGTACAAAAGGTAACTGGATGCTTCACATACCATTTCATGAAAGAAATTAAGGTTTTTATTCAGCAAGGATGCATCAAAAGTGCCATTTTAGATTAGGGTCTAATTCTCAATATTAACAAACTATTACCTATGACTTTTGCCTCTATAAACTTCTAATTACTGTTATCAATAGTAAGATTGTAAGTTAAGTGATGTAGAATAAGCCATTAATATGTGCTTTATAAAAACTAATGTTAATAAACAGCCAATATCCTAGTAATATGCATGATAATAAGAAACTAGTTAATTGTGAGAATTGGACTCCAAACTAAAGTATTACTAAAATATCTACTTCAAATGAATTCTGTTATTTTGAAGCTACACCTATATGTGAAAGAATCCTGAAAGTATTAGTTTTCACAAAAATATTAAGAAGCAAAAGCAAAATGTTTTCAACATTTATATTAATAAATGCTTCATGAGTAGCAAATCAGCATATTAGAATGATTTTTGAAGGATCACGTGACACTAAAATAGAAAACAGATATTTTAAATTATTATGATATTTCACAATATTACTGTTTTCACTGTATTTTTGATTAAAGACATGCAGACATTTTTTATTTATTAATTTTTATTATTATTTTTTACAAAAAATTGTGACTGAAGTGAACATTTCTGAGAGATTATGTGGGACAATGGACTAAAATCATCACAATATTCACAGTGTTGCTTAATTTTAGATCCCAAGTAAAATGTATTGCTGATTTAATATAATAAAACATAATATAACTTGGTGACTAATTTCTTTAAAGTTTGATGGGACTTTTGAAAATCTGCTCTCTTATATTGTCCTATAGGGTGACTCTGTATGACTACCAGGCCATGTGTAAGACCGGCCATCATCACACTAGTGCAGCTCGACCACTGCTCAGCGTATGTACACCTTAGCGTCTATTAGAGAGAAACATCTTTATAATGTAGGCTTTATTGAGCTGACACTCCACCTCTGTTCACCTCACAGCCTTTCTATGGTCTGCTGGCGTTGATAAAGTGGTTCTTCTCACATTTCATGATGTAAGTGCTGTTTGAGGTTGTGCCACTAGAAGGAACATGAGCTAATTTACTTCATTTAAAATGTAATTTCATTTGCCAGTAAAAATGAATCCTCATATCTAAACTTTCAGGTTTCTGTTGGAGTTCAACATCTGCGGACTTTGGCATAACGACTATGTAGTGGACGGTAAGTTAAAAAGTTATTTTACAGTCCTGTTTCTCATGAACATACTACTGTATGTACTTATTTTAGTAATGACACTAACTGGATAATAACTAGGTACTAACCATTAACATACTCCTATTCGTTTTGTGGGTAAGTACATTGGAAGTACACATACTGTAAAATAAAGTGCAACCACAGTTATGAAGGATGTAACAGTAAAACTGGTGAAATTGGGATCCCAGTATAATCAATAAACGACTTGCGTCGTGTCATGATGTGCTTGTAGTTCACAGACACTTCAAAAATCCTCAAACATATAAACATCATCTCCATATTCCCGTATCATTTAATGTCATCGTATGTAGTGTCTGTCATTCTCCATTCCATTGTTGTTCATCCCTTTGCTGTAATTGTTTCTCACTGACGCTGTGCAGCTAAAGCTGGGTTTCATGCAAGTAAGTGTGCTGTGTACATGAGCATATGTCCTTCATCTAGTTTGAGCCTTTCTATAGCCAAGATTGGCTTAGAATGCCAACTTTGATCCTGAGATTGCAATTTGTGAGTAATGAAACGCCTTAGTCATCTGTAGTGCTCTTAGTTTAGATCTAGGTTTTCTAGACAAAATAAGTAGTAAGCTTGTCTGATAGATCTATGGTTTTCTAGACAAAATACAAGTAGGAAGCTTGTCTGAAAGTTTAGGAGATCCTGATTTATTTTGTGAGAATGGGGAAGTAAGCATTTCAAATAGTTCATCCAACCAGAGGTTTTCAAACTTTTCAATGCCAACATCCACCAAATATCATGTGTATATGTGTGTGTGTGTGTATATATATATATATATATTAGGGCAAAATAAAAGTTTGTGTTGCATAATATAAATTTTGTATAACAAACTTCACACACATGTATATATTTAAGAAAAATGTGTTACTAATATATAAAATATTTATATTTAATATAAATCATGTAAAAATATATATCAAGTATATAAATGCAAAAATTTCTTAAATATATGCATGTGTGTGTATTTATATATACAAAATAATTATACACCCACATATATTATGTAAACACAAACTTTTATTTTGGATACGATAATCGCGATTAGTCGTTGCCCAGCCCTAAATATATATATATATATATATATATATATATATATATATACTGTATATTTATAAAAGAAGAATATATATATATATATATATATATATATAAAGCCCAGTTTAAAAACCTCTGGTCTAAACACAGACTTCATGAAGTACTTATATATGGGTTATAATGAAAATCGTGTCTTCTCCAGCACACAAACAGAAGAAGGTGGACCTAATGCAGCCTTGTAACACAGAGTATCCCAGCTTCATGTACGACACGTCCATCAGAGAGACCAACAGCATCATCAAATGTGGCCGCTGTCAGAAGTAAGTCCATCTATCAGATTGTCCTCAGGTTGATGGGTTTGTACCAGTAATAATTTGTCAATTCATCTCTGTTTCAGGATGTTTGTCCTACAGCAGGTTCCTAACAGTAACCTGATCGTGCTGGTGGTCCAGGCTGACTGCGACTGCTCCCGACAGTACGCTCCCATCACACTCATGCCCAAAGAAGTCAAATATATCCTTCCATGATGATTACCTTGTCTTTGAAATGTTGTTTTGGTTTAGCTTTGTGTGAAACTGAAGTCTTCTTAACTTCTTTGAACATAATGCCACAGTTAAGTGCAACAGGATGAAGTCTCAGAAGATTCGCAGACGACCCGAGTCTTGTCACTCATACCATCCTCACGTAAGCCACCCTGTTCATACAGTTCATGAATGAGTCTGAATATATATAGGCCTGTAATATATAGTGACAGATCTGGATGTTGTTTGGCAAATACATAATTTTCCGACAGTATATATGTATTCCCCAATCACAAGCAAGTACAAATGACCATTTTATTGTATTGTGTTCTTGCAGGAAAATGCCAAGGATTGTGGTGGAGCATGCAGTATAGCAGTATCTCTCACACTGTACTTCATATGTCTGGCTATCTCATTGACCCTCCGCTGAATGATACACACTGGACCCAAGGCACTTCAAACTGGACACTTTTGATTATCAACTGTGGATCTCAAAGATGAGGAATTCAACCATAAACAGGTTTACATAGAATTTATTACAATTTAAATGGTTAGTTTGACCAAAAATGAAAGTAATAGCGCTTTGGAATTGAAGACTAATGATGACCGAATTGAGTGAACTATGGGGCGGTGATGGCGCAGTGAATAAGACGCATGCCTTTGGTGTGAAAGACCCAGGTTCGAATCCACTGTGAAACACCAATGTGTCCCTGAGCAAGACACTTTACCCCTAGTTGCTCCAGAGGTGTGCGACTTCTGGCATATATGGCAATTGTAAGCCGCTTTGGATAAAAGCGTCAGCTAAATGAATAAATGTAAATCTAAACTATCCCTTACACAGCAGTTCTGCCCCCTACTGGACTCACCATGACACTGCACAGATGATAGTTTTCTCAGTGGGAGCGACAGCGAGAGATATAATCTTAGATTGTCTCGTGTAACTTGATGTTATACATCAGTTCTACTATTCTTTTATAATATGTTTAGGAATATAATGAATGTTTTAAAGCAAATATAGAGCAGTCACAGCTAAACTGCTGTTTGTCTTCATGATGGTTGCTACTTAACGTTTTTCATTGAGCTATTTTATGAAACTCTGTAATGAAAAGCAATTCATACGTTCTGTAAGATGGATACGGTTTAATATTTTTTTTTAAAAACAGACTTATGTGTGTATTTTAGTATCTGTATGTTTATTGATACAATACCAATATAGTTTTTAAATATGGCTTGACAATGGTGGAAATGTTTTACGTGAATAGAGAAAATAACGAATGACGATGGACTTGGTGTTTGTGTGATTAAAAAGTACAGTAAGTGTGAATAATTTTTGAACTCAGAAATGTATCAATTGTTTAACGTGTTTCTATACACACACACAGATTTACACAAGGGAAGTGACCTCAACAAGCCTATACACCACATAAGCCCATTTTTTATTTTTTAAATATATATATATATATATATATATATACACACACTTTATTTTATTATTTAATATAAAAACAGATTAATAACGCACATGAAACCACAATAAAGGCCAGAGACATTATTTATTGAACACTGACTTTTCTGACAAATAAATATGACAATAAGAGCACTGATGTCCAATATATTCCCCACTGAAGTGCCAGTAACTTTAAAAAGGTTAATTGATTCCTAACAAATGTTACTGGTTTTAGACCATTTTCATTTTTTAGCATGTTTGCCAACACTGAAAAATTAACCAACATTACATTGCAGCTCAAAGTTGAATTGTATGAATATCCTTTATCACAAGTACAAAGTGACAGAAAGCCTTCTTTTCCCCCAAGAGAATCACAGGAACCGGATTCCAGCCCCAAACTGCACTCCATCACATATCCTGAGATACAAAACGCATCGGCACATTATATCATAAATTTGAAATAAGAGAAGAGAAAAGTGTATTAGTGATTGATAGATTGTGTGTGAATGTATAATTGTCTACCTGTCACCGCTCTGGACACCCATGGGAATGCAATAGTTGAGCTCCAGACGAGCGATGTTCCCAAGACGCAACACAATGCCCGCTCCATAAGACCAGCGGATACACTCGGCCAGTTTGCTCAGGTGTGCCCTCGGCCCTTCCCCTAGAGGATGATTTAAAGTACAGCAACAAACGTAAGTCAAACAAAGCATCTTTCAAGAAATAAAAAGAAGAAAATTTGCCCTTTAAACCATTATTTATCTTACCATAGTTGAGGTTACACAAGTTTCCAGCATTGAAGAAGAAATGTGTCCTGAAGAGGTCTCCAAATCCGCCTCGGCCTGGCCTGAATGGAAGAGGGGTGTACAGATGAACCCCCCCAGCCCAATACGCCTCCCCACCGAGGTAATCGCCTGTCACCAAAGTGAGAAACAAGACCTTAGTCATGAATATATATATATATATATACCCTTTGTCAGGGTCAGAGTCATTTACCTTCGCTCTGAGGGCCAATGCTGTACATGCTGAAGCCCCTCACGCTGGTCGGACCACCCAAATAGAACCTAAATGCACCAAAACCACCATTACTTTGAGTGTTTGTGGTCTTTTTTTTACCAATGACAGAGGGAATTTGCTAACCTGTCAGCAATGCAGGATGGCCTTTCTCCAAGGGGCAGCAACATACCACCCCACAGAGAGGTAGAGAGCACCTACAAGAGACGAAAATCAGCCAACGGAGCCTTGCCAGTGTTTAAAAAAAATCAATAAACCAGTGGTGTAATCGTTAAAGCTCAAAACATTTAAGTTGATTAAATTACTAAATTAGAAAACATGTTAATTGTAATAAAATAAATATTAACTTAAACTAAAAATATATATAAAAATCTAATTTCTAATTTTCGTTTAGAGTAAGCCCTCTAAAAGTATTTAAAACAACCAGATAAACCAGTGTTGTAACTAAGTGTTGTAGTTAACTACGACTATTAAAAAACATTTACTTTAATTAAAATAATGTTAATGTTAAATGGAATAAAATAAAACATTAAAAAAAGATTTTTAGTTAGTAGTTAAAACAAAGCAGACATTTAAAGGGATAATTCACCCAAAAGTGGAAATTTTGTCATCACTTACTCACCCTCAAGTTGGTCCAAACCTGTATGCATTTCTTTCTTCTGTTAAACACAAATGAAGATATTATGAAGAATGTTGGTAATGAAACAGTTGATGGACCCCATAGTAGGAAAAAAAAAATATTATGGAATTCAATGGCTACCATCAAAATCATTAACTTTCTGGTTACCAACATTCTTCAAAATATCTTCATTTGTGTTTAACAGAGGAAAGAAACTCATAAAGGTTTAGAATAACATGAGGGTAAGTAAATGATGACAGAATTTTCATTTTTGGGTGAACTATCCCTTTAAATTCAATCACAAGCTACTAAAATGATAAAAACAACAAAAATATAAAAAACAAAAACTAATTCAAAATATTGTTAAATACTAAATATATTACTAAATACTATAGTATATTAATTATAATAAAACTGTAAAATTATATTAAGTTAGTTGCCAAAAAATATTTCAAAATTTCATTTGGTTTAGTACTAAAATTATTAAAACAAAATAATCAATAATAAAAACACAAAATTACTCAAATAAAATCTAAAAATAAAAACTCATTCACAATATTACTGAATACTTTAAGTTATACTAAATGCGTACAATAGTAGATTAATGATACTAAATTAACACAGCAACAAACAGACACAAGCAATAGTTTTTCCAAAGCATCTTACCGAGTCCCAAAAGAGAGTCTTGTTGAGCTGAATTTCAAAGTCTTCCTTCAGGAATCTGACATCTCCTCCAGTATAACCTGCCAGTTCCTGACAGACCATAAAAAAATAGTAAATAATGACAGTATTTTCATTTTTGGATGGACTATTCCTTTCATTTACAATGATAGCAAACAAACCTGGTTGATCTTCAGTAAGGCACCTTTTCTTGGAAGGATAGTAGAATTGCGTGTGTCGATGACCATTGCATGCTGTGAGGAAAACATCATATTCAAAATCAGATATGAAATATCAATGAGTGTAATAACAAAGCCAAGATATAGAGAAGACACATACAGAAAGTGAGGACTTCAGGGAATGGCCACTCTCCTCTCTGACAGTGAAGGAGGCTGTGCGGGCCAAACAACCCAGCTCTCTCCACACACCCTCCCATTTCAAAGTGTGATTTGTCCTCCAGATGGGGAACTGGGGATCATTGATCAAACAATGGACTCAATTAGATCATTTCTTACATATCTACTAAAACTTTAAAATCTACTAAAATTATATTGCTTTGAAGAAAACATAAGCGTCTTAATATAAATAAATGATTAAAATAAAGTCCATTACACTGAACTCTGTGGAGACCCCTCGGTCCGTTTCTCTGAGTGAGCTCCATGGGAACTGCCCCGTGACTTTGTACAAGTTAATGGAGAAGCTGAAAGAGTAAGAGAAAGAAATGTTCTTGACTTTATAGTGCCCCGATTATGCTATTTTAATGGTTCCTAATTTTGTTTTTGGAGATCTCCTACAAATTCAATATCCAATACATATTATGAATTTTCTCATAAAATACATTGCAGCAAACCTAGATAGAATTACTGATGATTCAATATTACACACTACATGAAAGCTGATATCTGAAATGGGAAATTTAATGACTAACTGAAATGACTGACTTGGGCAACATGACATTTCTAACCAAGTAAATGTAATTGTAAAAAGAAACACAATGCCAAGAAACATACTTCCGTTCAAAGTGTCCAGGCTGGGGCTTGAAGAATGACAGGCCATATGATGTTTCCTTAGTCCCATAAGAGAACTGAAAAGTCAGCTTCTCAGCACGGCCAAAAACATTGGGTAATTTCAAACCCAGCACCTGAGATTAGAACCAGAACAACACTTGTAAAAAAACCCTGAGTTTCTCATTGTAGCAGTGATGATGCAGATTGTCAGTAGCTCACCATGCTTCCCTCGTTGTTCCCAACCATAGTGTTGTAACTTCCTGTCATTCTTCTCAGCTCCTTCACTTCAAATGTCACATCCAGTCCATTAGGCAGCGCATCAGTACCTAAAGTTTTTTTTTTTTTTTAAATCAGACTTTAATGCATCACTTTGCTTATTGTTTATTTACTATTTGTTGTTTGCAGAATTGTTGTACCTTCAGCAGTGTCAATGACAACTTCCACATGTCTGAATATCCCCAGACGCAAAAGTTTCTGTCTGGCCTCATGGGACTTCTTCATTACCTGTAACAAATTTGTAAATATAAACACAATTTCAAATAGTTCAAATTTGAATATATATATAAATACACACACAGTATTTATAAATACTCACAACAATATATATAAATACTCACATCAATCAAGTTGTTGGCACGGAAAACATCTGCAATCTCATACGTTAAAAAGTCTTCCTTTGTTCTTCCGAGACCATCAATGTGTACATGTTGTACTACAACCTAAACAATTGAAAGATGCATATGAAAACCTGATATGAATTTAGGCATATGCAAACACTGGATAGACCAAACACATAAAGATCAATCTTACATCTTTATTTTCCAGAACTTCCTGTTTCTCCTCATGCTCTGGTTCCCCCAGGTCCATGTCATCTGCCTGAACCCCCAGTTCAGGTCCTTGCATAGGAAGGGGGTCCAGACTCTGGGTCAACAGATATGTAGCAGTGAGTTATAGTGTTACAGACCTATTATGTTATTTTTTTTTTTAAAGCATACTCAAAGAATCTGATTTCTCTAACAAATTATCTTAGGATCACATACAGTATGCAAAGCGGCAAGAATTGTGCATATATAAAGGCTAGTATTGACAGCTATTTGACAGTTAACTTAATCAATGTCGATTGATAAGTTACATGACTCAGTGTATAGTGAGAATGACCGTTTATATGTGCAAAATTGATTTACAATCTTACTGACAATAAATATGGATCAATGTGTAGTACAAAGCGTCATCCTGAACTCGGCCTGTCATTCAAAGACTCTGTTCAGAGGTCATTGCTTTAGGGTTTCCGACAACTTTGAAACAAATGCTCTTACCCTGGCATGCACGGTCCCCATGTTTAAACGCCTGTTTACATTCAAACGTCCAAAATATGATAATAAACAGAGTTCAATCCAAAACAGGACAATCCGCGGTCTGACTCTAGCACACTACGACAAACTCCCGGCGGCCGCCATGACACTTGGTAACCACGCCCATCGGGAATGATGGTTGGCTGAGAAGGACAGTACAAAAACGTCATGTTCGTCACTATTTTTTCCTTTAAAACAATATGACAAATTGCAGTTTATGTGTCGAAAT